CATCAGTGCAGCCCCTACCTGCCAGGTGAAGAGAGAGCCGTGCATTGAATCATTCTGAATGCCCGATATGTTCTCCGCTACTGGGTCCAATTCGCCCTTAAGATACAGCTGTGTCCTTCAGACATTTCCTTCAAGCCTTGGATGCAATGCTACGGTCTCAATAAAACTTTAACCTGAATAGTCTTAAAAACAACAGCATGAGTCCACTACCACCCACCTTCACTGTATTTTTCCTCCTTTGCACATATCCCTTTCCATCCCCCTTTGTAGGTTCCTTGTCTCTTTTATTTATCGTCTGTCTCAACCTGTTAGACTATAACATCCCTTAGAACAGGCTGTTTCCTCAGAGCTTATCCCTGAGACTAGCGGAGTGCCTAGCACAGAGTTAGTGCTCAGTAAATAACTGTTGGCTGAATGAATTAATTGGGAACGGGAGGGGTTCTTCTTGTGATCACTTCTTTCTCACTACGTAGACCACATCCTTTTCAACTGCTACAGCCAGTGAAGGATTACCTTTTTGTAACCGAACTTCGTCTCCCACTTTGAGGTTCTTACTTTACTCTACCTGGGGCGGTAACTCGCATCTGCACGGTTGCGTCCTCACCGACTCACCTTTCTTTCCCCAGTTTGGTCTCAGGGACAGCCTTTCCTTCACTTTGCTCAAAAAGTCAAATTCCTTTCTTTTTCTTTTCTTAAGTTTGTATTCATTTTGAGACAGAGAGAGAGAGAGAAAGAGAGAGGGACCAGGGGCAGAGACAGGGGGAGAGACAGAATCCTAAGCAGGATCCAGACCATCAGTGTGATGCCCAATGAGGGACTCGAACCCACAAACCACGAGATCATGACTCCAGCTGAAATCAAGAGTTAGGTGCTTAACCGACTGAGTCACCCAGGTGCCCCAAGTGAAATTTCTAAATTATCAAATATGACCCAATCCATATGTCCTAAAACCCTTAAATAATGGTTCTCTGTTGTTTACAGGATAAAGGTTAGCTGAGAGGACACTCCGTGATCCTCCTTCACGTCCAGCCTCTTCCTGATCCCCATGTAGTGGCGTTCTGGAACGCCTACTGGCTTGTAGAGAACAGGTGCGCTCCCTTTACCAGTTCTGCGCTGAGTGACCTCAGGGCGGTAGCTTGAAATCAGTTATCCCAGAAATATTTACACCAGGGAAACTGGCAAACCCTACAAATCCGGGTGTTTCTCCCCGGAGAGACATTGTGATATATCCTCTAGCACAGCGCCGCTCCCTCTCCCACAAAAGAAAAACCCAATTCTCGCGAGTGCGCTCTGCCATTAGATTCACGGGAGAATGGTTTCCTGGGCCGGACACACTCTGATGGGATTCCTCAACCGAGAAGTGGGAAGTTCTCTGTTTATTTTCAACACTCCTGAGATTTTTGGGTTATAGTCATTACACACGCATGACAAAGGAAGAATTTAGATAATTTACTGTTCAAGTAAAATAGGTGTACAAGGAAGACTCACAAGTTTATCTGGTGATTTCGGATACTTCCTCCTTCATGTCTATGTGCTTTAGGGGATATAGAACTCCAGTTTGAGAAGAGAGGGCTCATAATCAGCCCTTCCTGGATGGGTCATAGGTGCTTGAGAATATTAGGTACTTTCCTCGACTTTTTGGTGGGCTTCTGCTGCTCCCTAGGTTTTGAAATGGTCGTTTTTCTCTGTGAAATCCTTCTTTTGGTCAGGAATGAAACTTTAAAGTTTTAAACTCGTTCTTGAGGCACCTGGGTGGCTCAGTTGGTTGAGCATCTGACTGTTGATTTCAGATCAGGTTATGATCCCAAGGTCATGGGATTGAGCCCTGCGTCGTGTTCCACACTTGCGATCTTTTGACTTTTTGTTAATGGCCATCCTAACTGGTGTGAGGTGATATCTCACTGGTTTTGATTTTCATTTCCATGATGATTAACAATGTTGAGCACCTTTTCCTCTACCTGTATCATTAGCCATTTTTATATCTTCTTTTGTGAAGAAGACTTTTTGTTTAAGTCTTTTGCTTTACATTTTCTTGGGTTAATTTTCTTCTTATTCACTTACGAGTCATTTTTATATATTTCAGATAAACATCTTTTGTCAGATGTTTGCTGCAAATACTGTTTATTGGGTGATGGCTTGTCTGTCATTATCTTAAGTGTCACTTGACAGGCAGAAGATTTTAATTTTCATGGTATTCAATCTATCAAAGTTTTCTTTATAGTTGCTCAGCTTCGTCTCATCTAAGACATTTTTCCTACCTCAGAGTCTCAAAGGGTATCTTCTCTATTTTCATCTAGAAGTTGTAGAGTTCTGGGTTTTAGGTTTAGGTATATGAGTCATTTCAAATTGAATTTTATATATAATGTAATGTAAAGGTCTAAGTTCATATTTTTTTGTAACCATATCCACCTTTGAACAATCTTTTATCTGACTGAAGACCAACTGACTCTATAGATGTAGTCTATCTCTGGATTCTGTATAGTTCCATGGATCTGGATCTGTTTATACTAATACGACACTATCTTAATTAGCACACCGATGTGATTTAAGTCTTGCAATTAGGTAGTGCAAGTCCTCCAATACTTTTCAAAATTATTTTGTCAGTTCTAGATTAATTGGAAAAATTAATTTTAGAGTCAGTATACAAAAATTTTAGAATCAGTATAGTCATTTTCAGAAAAAAAAGCCTAACAGAATTTTGATTGGAATTTCTTTGAATATATAGATAAATTTGAAGAGGGGGATATCTTAATAATGTTGTCTTTCAACCTGAGCATATTTGTTTATCTGTATTCCTAAGTATTATAATTGTTTGTAATACTGTAAATGGTATATTTAAAATATCATTTTGCAATGATTTGACCCTACTATATAAATGCAGAATTTTTTTTTATATTTTGACCTATCTTGAAACATTGCAAAGTTTTAACATTATTTCTAGCATCTTGGATGACTTGATTTTCCTTCAGAGAAGATTTACTTTTGCTTCTGACAAATGGTAAGGGCATCTGTATTCCCAAATCATCTTTGTGCATTAGGAATTCACATGATCCAAAGATGGGCCACAGTTTCTGAAAAGGTGATCAATTTCTAGTTTGACTGTAGGCTTAGAGTACAGTACTTTGAGGTTCCAATCCAAAACCTGAGGATCGGGGTTCATCAGAGAGACTTCCCTTGGGTAAACTAAATTACAATTTTTATTCTCAACTAATTGTTTGGCAGTTTTTAACCACACACCTGGAATAAGCAGGTGTTACAAGGGTATGAATGTCTAAAATGCCAGGATTACATCTCTGGGCTTCTTTGTCTTGGACCTGTAATTCTTCACTGCATTTTTAGCTCTCCTCCCTCCCTCCCTCCCTCTCTCTCTCTCTCTCTTTCTCTGCCCCTCCCCCATTCACGCTTCTCAAGTGAGATTGAATCAAGTTGAAACAAGTGGAGATTAAACAAGGGAATCTCAAGCAGGCTACACACTGTCACGACACAGCCCGATGTGGGGCTTGAGCTCACGAACCACAAGATCATGACCTGAACTGAAACCAAAACTGACTGAGCCACCCAGGCGCCCCTCCCCTTGCCTTCAAATAAATGCTTAACAGTTGTCCCTGGTCTGAATTACTCAGTTCACTATTACCAGAAATTTCTGACCTATTTTTAAAACCTCAACATGAATAATTCTTCTGCATAAATATCACTCCATTTGTCTTCTCTGAAGGATCATCTGAAAACTCTGAAGGGACATTCTTGAACCCTTTAAAAAGATATCTCTAAGTGTGCATTTATTCTCAGGGCCTTACTCTTTTAGTGCCAAGGGATCCCAAAGAGAGGAAGGAATGAACTATAGCCTTAACTGTGACTTTTAAAGTTACGTGTCTTAGCTGCCTTCCAATAATGTATGCATGTATTTTACTTCTTCTCACTACCTATGCATATGGCATTTATTTTCTGTATAACGCTTCTTAAAGCCTGTAAGCATGTATTAAGTATAAAGTTAGCAATCTCAGAGAGAACAGGACTTGACTTGGTATTCAGGCCTCCATTTTGCTTGAGGCAGGAAACTTAATTTTCCAATTCAGGCAATTATAGATTGGGTTCCCCCCCGCCCAGTCTTTATGTGGTAAATTTACTTTCAATTCTAGAACTCCTCCTTTACATCTTGCTCTCTCCAAAGACTAAGGAAAGCCTGTGAAGTTATGCATTATCTGGGAGTTGGAAGGATGAGAGAGTCCAGCCTCCCCTGGGGCATAAGTCCCCATAAGTGATGTGTCCTTCATTGGCTACTGATGTCCATGACTTGCCATTGTCTGTGGCTCCTGTAATATAAGTGACATTTACCGACAGCATCTGTCCATCCCGAACTGTAGGCTCCTTCCCAGCTCTGTTCAACAGATCTACATTTTTCTGGTATGTAGGAAACTCTTGGATCTTTCATGCACAAAGCTGCAGTATGTATTTTGTGAGGCCACCATCCATTTGGCTTACCTAGAAATACACCTCAACCATTGTTATTCTCCACATACACTAGCTGGAAAGTCAGGCTATCCACCCTGGGAAGTGAGGTTACAACCCTCCCCCCGCCCCATGGCTTTTGTGATCTGTCTACTTCTGCAGCTTGGCCAGAAGTGGGGCAGAAGCAACATAGCTCGAAAGTGTTTTTTCTACTCTTCATTCAGCATAGAGAAAACTCAGCTGTTATACCAGCAAACATTCTTAGAAACTTTTTTTATATCATACATGTTCATATTTCTTTGAAGAAAAGCAAGCACCTCTCTCAAAAAGTCATCCATTGCAATTGAAAATGTTTAAGATGATGCTTTTAGTTATTTGCGTTGCATGTAGAAAGTCACCAGACTGCCCTGGGCAGAGTTTGAATCTGCCATTTCCCCTCATATAATAAATGCCACTGATTGAATGAATGGAAGGCCTTGGGCAGTGAAAAAAAATTGGGAAAAATTCCATACTTTATTTAAATAACTGGAAAAACATACACAGGAGGAGAAAATGATTGGATTTTAATAGAAAATATATAGATCCTTCACCACAGAGGACCGTGGCTCTCTATAGAGTGCCTTGGATAATGTCAATGATTTCACGATAAACTTGATGATACACATCTAATCCGAACAAGAAGTCTATATGATTGTAGGAAGAAATGGTTTTATGGTAAATATGGTTTGTGATTTCAGAAAGTAGATTTTTAACATCTTGAGGATCAGCCAACAAATCGTGGGCCCCATTCCATGTTGCAGTTGACACGTTCATGTGCGTCACGTCGTAAAATGGAGAAGTTGTCTAAATATCAATGGGTAGAAGTAAGAGTCATCACAATAATGATATGTAGAAGGTGTTCTTTAATGATTCTTTAAGTGATGAATTAGTACACTGTTGTAACATAAGCTGAATCTAAAATAATGATTGCTATGGAAGCAATGAATACAAAAGAATCGTTACTACAATTTTACTTAGAAGTAGGTCAGATACCAATCAAAACTGGACAGTTAGCTCTAATTCAGAGTATTCAAACATTCCACAGAGGTGTTTGAAGTTTCATTTTATAAATGTGAAAGTATTTTACTTTTTTTAACTGTTTGTTTATTTTCGAGAGATAGAGCGTGAGCAGGGGAGGGGCGGAGAGAGAGGCAGACAGAATCCAAAGCAGGCACCAGGCTCTGAGCTGTTAGCACAGAGCCCCACGCGGGGCTCGAACACACGGGCAACGAGATCATGACCTGAGCCAAAGTTGGACGCTTAACCGATTGAGCCACCCAGGGGCCCCAAACATGAAAGTATTTGAATCAAAACTTTTGGTGGCTTCATAGCTGCCAATATGTAAATGGTAAAAATTGACGGTTGAAGTCAAATCTGATTTTATCAATTCTGACCTTTTTGTTTTACTTCGGAGTTTTACACAACCAAACTGCATCAGACATGGAGTTTAAGCTAAGGTGGAAAAGTATGGTGGAAAAGGGTAAGTTCAAAGGAGACAGACAAGACTTCTGTCTTGCTACTCATACAATTTTTATCACCTTCTCATTAGCTTTCACCTTTTCCTAATTATTATGAGATTGTCTTATCTCCCCAAATACAATAAATAGTTTTAGGGTCAAGAACCTTATTATGCCTTTTATTTCTTATTTAACTAAGCACAAAGCTATGCCTATTATTAACACAATTATACATATAATTGTGTTATATAATTATATATATATATATAAAACATATCGTTCTATAATACAATGAATCATTCTATAGCCTGTCAATTTCTCCAGGCTTATCCAAGATATTTGTTGGAATACATAGAAGACACGGAAGTGCCCCTCTGGCTGAATGTGACAATATGGAGCCAAATCACAGTGGTCTTCACCTGCTCGTCCTTCTCACTCTCTTATTACAGCCTCGGGGTTTACATGAGCCTTCATCTGTAGCAACATTGCCTGAACTGAGCTAAGAGATTTTTTTTTAATGTTTTATTTATTTCTGAGAAAAAGAGAGAGAGACAGCGTGAGCAGGAGAGGGTCAGAGAGAGAGGGAGATACAGAATCTGAAACAGGCTCCAGGCTCTGAACTGTCAGTACAGAGCCCAATGCGGGGCTCGAACCCACGTGCCGTGAGATCATGACCTGAGCCGAAGTCAGACGCTTAACCGACTGAGCCACCCAGGCACCCCAAAGAGATAGTTTTTAGCTTACACATAATTATGTACCTGATTAAAATGCATCCAGTTCAGAACAGGACTTCCCCAATCAAAAGCTCTCAAGCGACTAGAATTAAAAAGCTGAAAGAAAATTTTTAGAAGTAAGATTATGCTCCTTTGTTTATCAGAGTGGCAGCTGATAGCAGGAGGTGTGCACTGGAAGGATTGTCTGTTGGCATTGGCGCTGGTAGACTTTTTGTGTGTCTCCCTTCCTTTGTAAAGGGTAAGAAATGGAAGAAGTAGGAGGTGACTGGCAGTGGATCTACAGAATACGGTCCTATCATTTTCATATAAATGCACATTTCCGCAAGGTCTTTTACCTTATTAATGGCAGCCTGTGTGCTTGGGGCAATGTCAGGCTTCCCAAGAAACCCTGTTTCATCCACAGAGGTCAAAAGTGAGTGTCTAGGACTAAGTGCACTAGGACTAAAACGATACTTTCCTAAGCACCCTTGCTTCAAACAACGGTGCTTGAGAGAATGTGCCAGAAGCCATCCCTTGCTTCACTCCCAGTACTTGTAGCCTCACTACTGCTACCTGCTTTGAACTTATCAGGTCTAATCTGATCATGCCTATTTTTTTCCCCTGATAATGTTTTCAGTGCAAGAAGGTTCAGACGCTCGGGTTACCTATCTTTTCTGACATTCTAAACCTGACAGGTATCCAAACACCACCCCCCCCCATTTTATCTCCTTCTAATTCTCCCCAACTCTAAAACCCAGTGGAATTCGTCATCAGCCTGTATCTTAAAGCCCATTGCTGATGGGCTCCCTTACGTCCTTGGTCTCTGGACAATCTGATTTTTCCTGAGAACACTCCTTCCCCTGTAGCTCTTCCTTCCACAAAAATGGCCAGGGTTATTTATGATCTTAACATTTGTAAAACTTTGGTCAATTCTGAGGAAATTCCTCATGTCATCTATGAGCAGCACTTGACAGTTGTTCATTTCTATCATTCAGAACTTTTTTTTCACTTAGCATCCAGAATACCATCATTTCTCGATCTTCATTTTTCTCTGACAGCTCCTTTTTCATTTCTTTGGCGTATTCATCCAGCCTCTGCTTCCTGACCTCTGAACCTTTCCATGTCTCAGCTCTCCGTCTTGCTTCCCTTCTCTCCATCTGTACCCATTCTGTGTTCTCATCCAGGCTCTTGGCTTTCGATGGCATCCATATTCAAAATGTTTATCGTCTTCGGCAAGTCTTTTCTAAATCCTAGACTCCCATATACAACTGCTTACTCAATCATTTGGATGTCTGACACTTAACATCTCCAAAATAGAACAGCGTATCTTTTCTCCAAACCCGCTCTACCCCCAAATCTCCCTATCTTCTTTAGTGGCAATCGCATCTGTTCGTTGCTTAGGCAAGAACCTCTGGAGTTACCCAAGACTCTCCTCTCCCTCCTCATGTAGAATCTATCATTAAATGTCCTTGGCTGCCATGTTTACAAAACACATGTATATTCAGAATCCAACCCTCTTTACCATCCTTTCTGGGAACACATCAGTGCAGGCCATCATCAATTCTTATTTGGATTGTGGTAGTAATCTACTTACTTTCTCACAGCTTCCACTCTTGCCTGACTTCAGTCTACCAGACATAGCACCCAAAGTATTCCTTTTTTTTTTTTTTTCAAATAAACTCTACCCCCAACGTGGAGCTTGAATTCACGGCCCTGAGATCAAGAGTCGCACATTCTGCCAACTGACCCAGCCAGGCACCCCCCAAAGTATTCCTTTAAAAATGCAAACCATATCATAACCCTTCCCTGCTCAAAACCCTGCAGGGGCTACTCGCTTCAGCTAGAAAGCCAGAGTCCTCACAAGGGCGTTCTTGTTTCTTTCTGGCTCTGTTCCATTTCTGCCCCCTTTTCCTGCTTCTCCCTCCCTAATCACTGACATCAGCCACACTGGCCTTGGAGCTGTGCCTCTCAGAAATGCTCCTGATGGATGGCCTGTGCACTGGCTCTGTCTGGAATGTTCTTCCCTGAGTTGTTCACACTGCTAACTTTCTCAGCTCCTTTAAATATTTTCTCAAATGTCACCATCTCACTGAGGCTGGCCTACATCTTTATTCAAGAACACATTCCACTCCCCTGTATGCCTAATCGCTTTACCTGCTTTTCCCCTTTATTTTTCCATAGCTTCTATCCCCTTCTAAAGTTTTAATGATTTACTTATTTGCTTTCTTATTGGTTACTGTCTGTATATCTACCTCTAGAATGTAAGCTTAAGGAGGACAGGGATACTTAGTTTGTTCACTGGTAATTACCACCAGTGTAGAACAATATAGGTACATAATAGGTGCTTGATATACATGCAAAGGTTGTTTAGATTTCCTGTACTTGTTATCACCAGCAATGAGCTAAATCTAATGGTAAACTGAAGATTTTTAATAATTTACCTCAAAAATCACTTAGATTTAAACATTCAAAAATTTTTAGTGTTTATTTGTTTTTGAGAGACAGAGACAGAGTGCAGGAGAGGGGCAGAGAAAGAGAGAGACACAGAATCTAAAGCAGGCTCCAGGCTCTGAGCTGTCAGCACAGAGCTGGATGTGGGCCTCGAACTCACAAACTGTGAGATCATGACCTGAGCCAAAGTTGGGTGTTCAACTGACTGAGCCATCCAGGTGCCCCTAGATTTAAACATTTTAAAATACCTTAACCAGTATTTCAATGATACTTTCTTTTTTATGTTCATTTATTTTGAGAGAGAGAGTGAGTGAACAAGCTGGGAGTGGCACAGAGAGGAGAGAGAGAGAGAGAGAATCCCAAGCAGTTTCCATGCTACTAGCATGGGGCTCGAACCCACAAACTGAGAGATCATGACCTCAGCCAAAATCAAGAATCAGACACTTAACTGACTAATCCACCTGAGAGCCCCCCACTTTTATATTTATTATTGTTTTCTGAGAGAGAGAGAGAGAAAGCATGTGAACAGGGAAGGGGTGGGGGGCTGGGGGGGATCTGAAGTGGGCTTTGTGCTGATACCAGAGAGCCTGATGTGGGGCTCGAACTCACAAACCCTGAGATCACGACCTGGGCCAAAGCTGGATGCTTAACTGACTGAGCCACCCGGTGCCCCTATCTCAATGATACTTTAAATTCATCGGTGTTTATTCAGTTTAAATAACACTCATAATCATAACCCTGTTTTAACTCTTTTAATATTTTTGTTAGGTCAGAGCATTATTAATAACTCCATTTTTTAAAATAAGGAAATTGAATTCATAGAGATTAAATGAGCTTTCTCAGCATCTCACTGCCAGTAAAATTCAGAGAAAGGATTCAGCGTCTGGTGTTTTGATCTCAAGTACAGTGTTCTTTCTAGGACCTTAACCTGGCTCTCAACATTGACATGATATTCACACTGGACTTTTTTTTTTGTCAATATTCATTAAACAGTCTTAAGTGTGTACTATTTGCCCAGAACTCTCAGCCTCGCAAATACAGAAGTGTATAAAACTGACTCATAGTCCTCACAGAATTCACAGTTTACCAGAGGAGAAAGTGTAGTCGAGTTACCAACTAAGAAGTGGGACACCTGTATGCTCGTCTTAGGTTTTTTTAAGGGACTAGCCTTGGATTTTTGGGCAAGTCAAATGATGGGCATGACCTAGATGATTCCTCATCTACTACTCTGAATTAACATTTTCTCATTTATAAAACAGAGAATAATTCTGTTGCTCTGATCATTGCTTAGTGTTTGAGGACCTAATAGATTATGATTTTAACATATTATAACAGATGAAGAATTATAAAAATAGGTAATAGTTTCATTTTATGCTTCTAAATTTATCATCCTGTGGCAATCGCATGATTCTTAGAATGATGGGGATAAACCATGAATAGTAAAGATGAAAATTGTACTAAAACGCACTTTAAGGGGCACCTGGGTGGCTCAGTCGGTTAAGTGTCCAACTTCAGCTCTGGTCATGATCTCACGGTTTGTGGGTTTGAGCCCTGCGACGGGCTCTGTGCTGACAGCTAGGTCAGAGCCTGGAACCTGTTTCAGATTCTGTGTCTCCTTCTCTCTCTGACCCTCCCCTGCTCATGCTCTCTCTCTCAGAAATAAATAAAAATATTAACAAAATAAAATAAAATAAAATGCACTTTAAACGGTGTACCTGACTCCAGTGTAGCATGTTTTGAACTGATGTCCCTGCTGGGTTATGTGACATGTACACATCCATACGGCTCTGAGGGGTTAAAACATTATTTTTATACTTAGTCCAATCAGAGAGAGCATAGTCTATGATATTTGTTAAAGTAAATAATTGCAAGAAAATGTAAAGTTATTTTTAAATAAATAATATCAGCAGAAAGAGGCAAAATTATATTCCATTAAATACATAAATGTACTTACTAAATGTGTAGTTTTTACATTAATGTAGAAGCTATTATTAGGTTTCTATGTTACATAGTCCGTCATCCCATATGGAAAACATTTAGAACTCTTGGAACTCACACACATGCATCCTTTTTGAAGGCAGAAGAACTGAAAAGATAGAAAGGGGTTGCCATGGGGCACCTGAGTGGCTCGGTCAGTTAAGCAACTGACTCTTGGTTTCAGCTCAGCTTGTGATATCGTGGTTTGTGGATTGAAGCCCCGCATCGGGCTCTGCACTGGGACTGTGGAGCCTGTTTGGGATTCTCTCTCTTGGACTCTCTCTCTGCCCCTTCCCCAGTCACGTGTACTCTCTCCCTCTCTCAAAGTAAATAATTCTAAAAATAAATTAATTAAATTGAATTAAATTAAAATTTCCAGGAAAAATAGAAAAGAAAAAACAAAGACCCCTCAAAAAAGCCAGTTTTTCCTTCAAGTTCTTTGCCAACCCTAGAGGATCCGAAGTTTCATTCTGAGAACTTAGCTATTTGAAGAAAATGAAAATCAGCCCAGGCTCTGCCAAGGGCAGTTGGGAGATTTAATATGAAACTCTTTCTGGGACAAACTGAGGTCCTGAAGTTTCACACCACTCAAAGTGAAACAACCACAAATAGAGCAGCCTTCATGTCAACCTAGGTTTGTGTTGCCTACGGAGTCCCCAGAAACCTTAATCAGTGACCAAGACATATGAAGTCACTGTTATCCTATCAAAGTCTCAACACATTATTTTAAGGATACCAACAGCCTTCAGACAGACTGCTTCTAACGTTCAGATGGAGAAGCAGAATACCCAGAATAGCCAACACAATACTGTGAGGGAAGAACAAGGTTAGAGGACTGACACTAAGTGACTCCAAGACTTCCTACAAAGCTCCTGGGACCAAGACAGTGTGGTATTGGTGAAAGAATGGACAAATCGATCCATAGATGGAACAGAGAGTCCCCAAATAGACCCCTATAAATAGAGTCAGCTAATCTTTGACAAAGGAGAAAAAGCAACCCAGTAGAGAAACGATAATCTCTTCAATAAATAGTGCAGGAACACCTAGATATCCACATGCAAAAAAAAAAAAAAAAAAAAAAAAGACACAGATCTCACACCCTTCACACAGGTTAACTCAAAATGGAACACAGTCCTCAATGTCAAAGGGAACACTCTAAAACTCCTAGGAGATACCANTATAAATAGAGTCAGCTAATCTTTGACAAAGGAGAAAAAGCAACCCAGTAAAGAAACGATAATCTAATAAAAAAATAAAAAAAAAAAAAAAAAAAAAAAAAAAAAAAAAAAAAAAAAAAAAAGAATCTAGACACAGATCTCACACCCTTCACACAGGTTAACTCAAAATGGAACACAGTCCTCAATGTCAAAGGGAACACTCTAAAACTCCTAGGAGATACCATAGCAGAGAAAGTCTAGTTGACTTTTTAGAGGCAGCACCAGAGGCACAATCTATGAAAGAAATAACTGAAAAGCTGGCCTTCATTAAAAGAAAAATTTCCACTTTGCTAAAGACAACATCAAGAGAATTAGAAGACAGGCCAGAGACTAGAAGAAAATATTGGCGAAAGACACATCTATAAAGGATTGTTACTCAAAATATACAAAGAACTCTTCACACTCAGCAACAAGAAAACAAACAACCTGATTTAAAAATAGGCCAAAGACTTTAACAGGTACCGCACCAAACAGATATACAGATAGCAAGTGACCACATAAAGATGCTCTACATCATAGGTCATCAGGGAAACACAATTAAAAAGGACAGTAAGAGACCACTATACACCTACGAAAATGACAAAAGTCCAATACATTGACAGCACCAAATGGTGAGGATGTGGAGAAGCAGGAATTCTCATTGATTGCTGATAGTAATGCAAAATGGCACCACCACTTTGGAAACCACATTGGTGGCTTCTTAAAAAACAAAATGAGTCTTTACTATACAATCTAGCAATCACACTCCTTGGTATTTACCCAGAGGGGTTGAAAACTTACATTCACACGAAGTCTGCACATTGATGTTTATAGCATCCTTATTCATAATTGTCAAAACTTGAACCAAAATGTCCTTAAGGAGGTGAATAGATAAATTATGGTACATCCAGACAATGGAATATTTTTCAGTACTAAAAAAAAATGTGCTACTAATCCATGAAAAGACATGGGAGAACCTTAAATGTATATTAGTAAGTGGAAGAAGATAATCTCAAAGGGTTACAGACTGTGGGATTCCAAGTACATGGCATTCTGGAAAAGACAAAACTATGGGCACTGTAAAAAGATCAGTGATGGCCAGGACCTGAGTAGGCAGGGATGAATAGGTGAAACACAGAGGATTTTTAGGGCAGTGAAACTATTCTATACAATATCATAATGGTAGATACATGTCACTTTACATTTGTTAAAACCCATAGAATGTAGAACGCCAAGAGTGAGCCCTACTGTAAACTATAAATTTGGGGTACTTACGATGTGTCAATGTAGGTTCATCAGTTGCAACAAATGTACCACCTTGGGGGTCATTTTCACACCCAAGTTCATCTAGGTTTTTTCCTATGTTATCTTCTAGGAGTTTTATAGTTTTGAAACTCACACTTAGCTCTATGATCCAAATCTGAGTTAATTTTGTGAAGAGTGTAAAGTTTGTGTCTAGTATTTTTTTGTTGTTGTTGTTGCATACAGACATCCACTTGTTCCAATTCCAACACCGTTTGTTGAAGAGATTGTCATTTCTTTATTGCACAGCCTTTTCTCCTTTGTGAAAGCTCTGTCGGCGACAGTTATGGGACTCCATCTCCGGACACTCTATTCTGTTTCACTGATCTACTTGGTTCTTCTTTCTCTCATTCCACACTGTCTAGGTTACTGTAGCTTGAGGTTGAGTAGTATCAGTCCTCCAACTGTTCTTTCCCTTCACTACCGTGTTGGTAATTCTCAGTTTGGCTTCTCTCTATAAACTTTAGAATATCCTTAAAATAACCTTCTGGGATTTTGATTGCCATTGCACTGAATCTATAGACTAAGTTGGTAAGAATGGACATCTTGACAACTTCTCTTTCCTTGAATGAATAGATTGGTTCTCACTGAGAAATTATTAAATGGGACAAGTGCAGGAACCAACCACTAGTCTAAAGGCTGCAATTGCTTCTGCCAAATCTGGATTTTTAATTTAATGTGCTGAAAAAGTCTTAGAACGAATGCCTACATCTGTAATAGAATGTATAAACAATCAACCCATGGGGCCTTGATGATACGAGCTTGGGCACTGAAGCAGTTTTCCACTGGAGGAATTTTGACAAATGCCAGAAGCATGTAAGGTAAAGCAGGCACTAATGCTAATTACAAAAAGATCAACAATAAGGGAAGGAGTATGAGGAACCAAGATATAAGAGTAGAAGCTGTGGGGCCATCTGGGTGGCTCAGTCAGTTAAATGTCTGGCTCCTGATTTTGGCTGAGGTCATGATCTCATGGTTCGTGGGACTGAGTCTCACGTTGGGCTGTCAGCATGGAGCCTGCTTGGGATTCTCTCTCTCTCCTCTCTCTCTGCCCCTCCCCCTATTCATGCTCTCTCGCTCTCAAAATAAATAAATAAACTTTAAAAAAAAGCATAGGAGTTGTGAAAAACTAGTGATAGAAGACAAATACAAGAAACTTCAGGAAACTAACACCCGGTCAAAGAGCAGTAAAGATACCTATCACAGCAACGGTCCTCTGTTCTTTACAGAGAGCAAGACAAATGTTTAAGTAAAAAAATTACCTCAACACATTAATGCTGATTAGTTTCAGAATGTTGGTACAATCACAAAATCAGAAAGGCTAAGACTCTAACAGTTAGTATATATGGACAAATCATAAAATAACACACAAAGCATAAAGTTAAGTACTGTGAAGAGCTGCTTTCTAAAAATTGACAAAGTACATTTCAAATTCAACTTGTTCTTACCATATTTAAGTTCTCCAGGTCACATCCATACATCAAAAACAAGACCTCACGGCAAATCTTGCCAAAAGTCTTCAGTGGACACAGCTTTGAACCAACAAATCTTTTAAACGAAGTATTAGGTAAGAAGTCTTTGTTGCCAAAAAAAGGCTGTAAAATAAATTTACTTTATTCCAATTTGGAAGACCAAAATAATTAATCAAGAAATGGTGTGATAAGTTCATTATATTCATAATTAAATGCATTACATCACATTAGTTTAAAATGTTTACATTAAGGGCAAAACTTGGAAACACAAGGTACAGATAAGTTGACCACTGGATTTTCCTTCAAAATAACATGTCCAAGGGTATTATAAAAGTGAAACCCTATTCCTTTGTAGAAACAAAAGGTAAGAATCCAATGTAAATAAAACCACAAAATTAAATTCATACATAGCCAATAGTTTTTGTTTTGAAAGGAGAGAATTTTTGTCATTTTGGATTATCAACTACATAGAGGAAAGGCATAACATACCTTTATCATTGACTTCCACTTGTATGCCATTTTAATTAAAGGGCTATCCGAGTATTTAATAGAAAAAACTGGAGCCAAGGCAAAAAATATTTTGACTTTTTCAGCTATCTTTGGTATTGTGGAAAATGTTATGAAGGCTGAAAGAAAATAAGGCAGAAATTATGCAGTCACTAGTATGTAAGAAATGACATTATGGCAAACAAGAGTAAATTCAGGAGCTTCTGGGTGGCTCAGTCAGCTAAGCATCTGACTTTGGCTCAGGTCATGATCTTGTGGTTCATGAGATCCAGCCTCACACCGGGCTTTGTGCTGATGGCTCAGAGCCTGGAGCCTGCTTCGGATTCTGTGTCTCCCTCTCTTTCTCTCTCTGCCCCTCCTCCACTCAATGTCTGTCTCTCTCTCTTTCTCAAAAATAAACATTAAAAAAGATTTTTTAAAAAAGAGTAAATTCAATAAGCTCTGAATAATTAATTGACTCATTCATTTCTTAATTCCCTTATCAAACATTCATCTATCACCCAGTATGAAACACGCATATCGATCACAACGTAATGTAGATTATTAGTATTAAAAATAATATCTAGATAATAAAGGAAAAACCAGTAATAAAACAGTCTTGTTAACATCACAGTTTAAAAATCAGTAACAATACTGAGCATTTGTATAAGTAGCAATGGTGAAAATGTGGCAAGTTGATTTTTCTGGTATTTGAATCTTATGCTTTAGGTGAGAGATTCAATGAATGTCAAATAATTTTAATATTTACTTTTAATATATTTTAAAACCTCCTTGCCTTCTCCTATAGAGGATACCAAGCACTAGTTTATATTTTATTGTTAGATTAGAGTCATGGATATGACAAATATTTGACATCTTATCAAGCTACATGTTTGCATATCTTCAATATTTTTAAAGCTTTTCTGACTTCTAAGAAGGCAACTAACCAAAGAATTCTATATCATAGTATGAGTCAATAAGCTCTAACACATATCCCACTTGCTTCTTATTTAATAATTATCCAGGATTCCTGGTTCCAAATAACTGATGAGTCAAACAAGTGGTTAATAAATGTCAGAGAACAGATCTATAGAAAATGGGATTAGACTTGTTCAACACATTTTTTAAAAGCGGAAAATGGATTATTCTTGTAGGAATATGATAGTTTTCAGCCTAGAAAAGACTCAGTTAATATTGGCTTCTATCATAACATGGCCTTTGTAACTTCCAAAGTGGAGAGAGTGAAGGTAGAAAGGTTCGCCATACCACATACGAGAATTACGTTAGATCTTAGGGAATTTGTTTGTTATCCTGAAAGTGAACTTGTTAGGTATGAGCTAGAAGCATGATTGCTGTGGGCTGTCGAAAGCTCTTTTCTAGTAGTCTTGAAACATATGAAGACTTTCCTCACCTTTGTGCACGTCTTACTTAATTTTCATCCACCCTAAATGCATAAACAGAAGTGGCCCTTTCAAGTCTCTCCCTCCCAAAGTCCTTTGCTACATTTAAACAATAAAGGTAGGTATGAAATTTCTATTTGTGGAACAAGAGGTAGTTATGATCTCAAGATGGATATTCAACTTCTGTTCCCTTGGAAACAAAGAAAACCAAAAACGACCTGTTGTTAACGATTGATTCTTTGTGACTAGAGAAGATAAGGTGGAGGTTGCCAGGGACACTGCTGTGGGATGCTTGCCTTGGGCTCTGCTTTATTTCCCTTGTTGCTTTGGAAGCTTGCCCACATCCTGGAGAAGACTCTAGAAGAGTCATTAAGGAACATTAACGACAATCTCTCTTGCCATACCTATAGTGGTGCCCTGGGAATGGCCAACGTAAAATATTTCCTCTTGTCCAGTGTGCTTCACAATGAAGTCAATGGAGGCGGGGAGGTCGTATTTAGCCATCTCATCAAAACTACAAAAAAGGAAGAAAGAAGGAAAGAAAGAAAGAAGTAAGGAAGAAAGAAAGAAAATCGAAATTCCTTGACACTAACATGATGTTAACACTTAAAGACTTCCATGAGAACACAAAGTCAAGGAAATAAAATAGCCTCAAGATAGTCTTTTTTAAAAAATGTTTTTTTAGGGGCGCCTGGGTGGCTTAGTCGGTTAAGCGTCCGACTTTCGCTTAGGTCATGATCTCTTGTTTCGTGGGTTCGTGCCCCTCGTCGGGCTCTGTGCTGACTGCCAGCTCAGAGCCTGGAGCCTGTTTCAGTCTGTGACTCCCTCTCTCTCTGACCCTCCCCTGCTCACGCTGTCTCTCTCTCTCTCTCTCCTAGAAATAAATTAAAAAAAAAAAACATTAAAAAAATGTTTTTTTAATGTTTATTTATTTTTGAGAGAGACAGAGAGACACAGAGAGAGAGAGGAAGACACAGAATTGAAGAAGGGTCCAGGCTCTGAGCTGTCAGTACAGAGCCCGACATGGGGCTTGAACCCACGAACCGTGAGATCATGACCTGAGCCGAAGTTCGATGCCCAACTGACCGATCCACCCAATAATCCCTCCCCCAAATAGTCTTATAAACAGGAGTTTTGTATATTCTATATACAGGGAGATAGACTAAGTGTAATGGAGCAAAAGAATGGTTATAGGCTGAGTGGGGTAGTCAATGAAGGTCACCACTGAAAAATGATAAATGTGCTTAAAACCAAACCAGCACTCTTTAATTTTCAAGCCAAAATTTACATTAATGTTGATGGTCTGTTAAAAGACCTGACTGAGCAAAGAGACACATTCTATTTTATTTCATCTAAAAACCAAACCAAACGTTCAACACGCTTATCAAATAAAACAAAACATGACTTGATTTTCTTTGTACCTGAAGGCCCAGAATTCTCTGGAGTTTGTTTTTAGGGACAGGTGTCTCCTGGCCCAGGTGTTCCCCCTGCTGTTCCCCAGCCACACGTCATAACCAGCGTCGGCCAAGATGAAGCCCAGGCTGCTGTTGGGCAGGTTGGAAATCCAGCTGCTGGCAGATGTCAACAAACCGTGCTGCAAGTATACCACAAGCTTCTGAGCTAGGACCAAATGCAGAGAGTTTCTTCTTAAATTTTATAATATCTACATAACCATCTAATGGGAAATTTAATTTTTTAATACATGACAGTTTGGAGGTTTAAAAAAATTTTAAATTTCATATGTTATAAATGGGGTAAATTATTAATGTTTACTTCCATTCTGTGTCAGAGATGTTTAAAACATTAGTTTAAACACATTAGTTTAGTAATGAATATTTTTCAAATGACCAAGTGCAAAATTAGGGCATGTCTCACTTAAATATGTAAACTTTTTAAAAGTTTATTTATTTGAGAGAGAGAGAGTCTGCACACAAATGGGGGAGAGAGGTAGAGAGGGAGGGAGAGACAGAAGCCCCAGTAGGTCCCACGCTGTCAGTGCAGAGGCTGACACGGGGCTCGAACTCATGAACAGTGAGATCATGACCTGAGCAGAAATCAGGAGTCAGACACTTAACCAACTGAGCCACCCAGACGCCCCTAAATATATAAACTTTTAAGGACTGGGATATTCAAATATCTAATCGTAATGTGGGCACTCATATACATTTTAAATAGTATATTACCTAAGATATTATATTGTATGTGATTTTCCCACTCTTCCATTTCATAAGACGATTTTATCATCACGTTTTCACAGACATATTCAATATACGTGTCATTTTAGAACCACTGTGCTATTACCTAACAGAGTTTCCAGAATCCTGATTATACTTACAAGGTTTTTGAGAAATAACACCTGTCGCATAATGTGAGTGTGCTCGCGAGTAACCTTGTTTTAAGCCTTCGTTGTGATTTACGCATAGCCCACATCATTATTGTCTACTGCCCTGATCCCGTGGGCACCTGGCACAGACCCACTGACTAGGCTGATGCTTGTACCTTCTAGCTATTTTGTTACCAAGCTGTACCCAACTGCCCCTTCTTGGGAGAGGATGAGAGTATCAGTATTGGCTAAATGGGAGCTCCCACACCAGAGGAAGAAGCAACCTTCCTGACCAACTGACACAAAGGTATGGAGAGCTGACTCCCTGACATCAGGGTTGGACCGACTCTGATGTGCTTCATGTCTGCCTCTCCCCAAGGGACCAGGGGGAGGCTACCTGGGCACTTTGGGCTCCTCATGCTGGAAGACTTGGGGGACAGAGAAAGGAATTACTCTATAGGCAGGAATAATTGATCCTGATCATCAGGAGGAGGTAAGGCTTCTGATACAGAACGAGGATGGAAAAATATATTTGGTATTCACACGATTCACTGGGACATCTTTTGTTGTTACTCCCAAACCTTGTTTTACCTGTAAATGTGTAAATACAGCAACTATGACCTGTTACGGACACAGTAGCCCTTAGGGATGAAGGCCTGGGTGGCCATGACAGGGAAGACAGCTCAGAGGGAGGGGAATCTACCATGGGTAATAGAGTTGGGACTTTATGAGTACAGTCACGGTCGTGGGGTCTCCTACAAGAGCAGATGTCATCATTTCTTCCACTCACCTTCCTCTTGTAAGTTGTCCTAGAAATTTGGACCTACCAAAATCCTGGAAAACCTGTACCTGGATGAAATGAACTTAACGTGACAAACAAATGGATGTAGTAACACAAGAGGTGCATTCTGTTATTCTGATGCCCCATCTAGATTTCCTTTACCAAGCAGGTGGACTACTCTTCTAGCTGTTGTGGGGTTTAGTTTCTCAGTGTTCATTATTGCCCCTTTTGCTGTAGGATTGACCTGGGCAGGTGGCAATTGCCTCACCCAGGAGGTTATACCTGTTTCTATGAGTAGTCTTTAGGCAATGATGTGGCAACATCAGGAGTTAGGCTAACTTCCTAACGTCAAGGCGGGACCACTTTGTAGCGCAGTTCATGGATCTATGAGCTCCTCTGAGATCACATCGCATCTGGACTTAGCTGTGTCCCATCCTTCCTTAGCTACTTCCCTTGCCCTACCCCGATTTTCGCAGTACCTTCCCCTGACAGTAGACCAGCAATAAATCACATGCTCCTGAATTCCTGTCTCTGGCCCTGCTTTTACACAACTCTAAAGCACTCGCTGTATTTTTAGATTACCTTTAAATATTTTATTCCAGTATTCGTGAAATTAGATCAGACCCTGAAAAATGATCACTATGATTATGTTAAATCTATGTGAACATTTTGTGTCTAGTAGCTGTGACCTTTATAAGGATCCGAAATTACATTGATCGAGGTGGTTTCAAATTAATATCTTCTCTGAAATGTACTTTAATGTTCAAAATGAGAACTTGAGGGGGTATCCTATATATGAGAAACATTCTTTTCAGTGAGAACATCTAAAGAGGAAAGAAAAAAAAGGCTGGTTGTTTTTTAAAACATGTTTTAAATGTTTATTTTATTTTTTGAGAGAGATAGCACAAGAGGGTAAGGAGCAGAGAGAGAGAGAGACACAGATTCTTAAGCAGGCTCCAGGCTCTGAGCTGTTAGCACAGAGCCCCACGTAGGCCAAACCCACCAAGTGTGAGATCATGACTGGAGCTGAAATCAAGAGTCTGATGCTTAACCCACTAAGCCACCCAGGCACCCCCCAATATGTTGTTTTTTATTTGAGCAATTCAATGAATAAGCAAAAGTAATCTGTTACATATTCTGCTCGTAAGTGGCTGATAGAGAATTACAATCCTAGTGACAAAATCTAGGGCTTTGTTTTTTTTTTTACCTCACTCGCTGATGATAGTGATGTACCTTATTGTTGGAGTGAAGAACCATGAGGTGGCCACCAACCTGATCTCTTTGCTATTCATAGAGGAGGGAGCCTTTTTTCAAACCTACAGAATAATATTACCATGTTACATTTCTAACTCCTCATGAAACCAAGAACTTGTAGGGAATGAACATAAATGAGGAAAGGGAACCACAAAGAAAACTTGGAACAATTTGTGTTCTACCACATTTTAAAACTACTCTGGGAGCACCTGGGTGGCTCAGTCGGTTAAGCATTGGATTTTGGATCAGGTTATGATCTCACATTTCACGAGTTGGAGCACTGTGTTGGGCTCTGTGCTGACAGCTCAGAGCCTGGAGCCTGCTTCTGATTCTGTGTCTCTGTCTCTCTCTGCCCATCCTCTGCTCTCTCTCAACAATAAATAAACATTAAAAAAACAAAAAAAGAATCTCTGAACAGGAAGCCAATGGAGAATCACATTCTCTTTTTGAGGCATGTAGAGACTTGTATGCGAAGTTACTGGTGCACTTAATCTTTAAATAATTTTCTTGTCCTAATCTTGCTAAAAAGAAGTGGAAAGTGAAGAAACCTCAGGTCCCAGAAAGCCAACTTGTTCTCAGTTGAGTATTACCTGAATCGTCATTGTTTGTCTTCCCATAAGGAATTCTGTAAAGGCCAAGGATATAACCATCTTCAGTCACAATGTCATACACTTCACCCGGGTAGCCCCAATAGGAAATAATTTGGCTCTAGATAAAGAAAAAGGAAACCTTTTAGTGTGTTGGTCTGTTAATGTAAGCTGATAACAATCTAACCTGTTAATGTAATAATGGACCTTCATGCTGTCTCAACATTAGGACTATTTTTTTTCCACTAGCTCAATGATTCATTCAGTAATAGATATTTATAGAACACCTACCGAGCATCAGTCTTTATTCTAACTACAAATCATTCATACTTCTACCTATTCAACCATATGCAATTTAAAAATATATGTTTATTCACAGAGGTTTGTATGTCTATGCTAATAGCTAAGCTTAGATCTGAAATTTGTAAGTCTATGCGTGTACACAAAAGAATTTGTAAGTCCTCCATAAAGCTATTTAAATATATTTGTATATATATTTTTTCATCCAGGGACAAAATAAGGCTGAAGCTACAGAACAGTAAATGGAGACTATTGCTTGACTCGTATCAAAATATATGAATGCAAGGATATAAATTGACTACAGATCTATTAAAATAAGAGGACCTCAAAATTAAAGAGTAGCATTTCCTGTTATTTTGGTGGCTTAGCATTTATTTCCTAGCAGCTTACAATATTCATATTTGCTTCAGGGTTCACAGATCTTCGATATCGAATGGCACCATGAGTAGTCCCGAGAATTAAAATGAAAGACATCACTTTGAAAAAGTACCACATTTGGGATCTACATACGAAAGGAGACATTAATACTATTAAAATTGCAGGAATTCATATCGTTTGACTGTTTAAATAATTCTGTGATTTAAGGAATATTACCATTTTCAGATAAGAAAGCTGAAGCTCTGAAAAATTAAGTAACTTGTCTAAAGATACACAGTGTACAATTTACAGTCAAGATTCAGATTTCTTCCTGCTTCATCCCCAAACCCATGCTTTTCTAATCACCCTATTTTGTAGTGCAAACCCCCTCTTTGAAATCTCCACCATAGAACTGTTTAGCCCAGTTCCAAAAGCTTTATCATATACTATAAGTTAACTGATAGCTGAATTAAGGATGTAACAATATTCTTACCAGGCTAAAGCTTATTTAAAGTATGTTTAAGGTTGTTGGGTTTTGGGGAGGGAAGGAGGATGGGTGAGGAGATTAGGAAGCTTGGATAACTCAACTTCCATCTAGCCTCTCAGCATCTAGATTTTATTGCATATAGAAATGCTTGTCTTGAGTATCCTAAATTCTGGGAAGCCATGACTCTTATGTTCTTTCTAGAATAAGAATCCAGGGAGCCACTGAGCTCACTGCCCACATTCTTTCCTAAAAGCATGACTTATGGATCTCACGAACCTTCTATAATAAGCCAGGCACTGTTCCTGGAAGGACATTGTGCAGAGTTTATAGGTCTGGCTTTGCCACTCACAAGCTATGTGACTTAAAGGAGGTTACTTAACCTCTCTGAGCAACAGTTTCTCTACCTATAAAATGTGAATAATACCTACTTCTCAGGATTATTATATAACTTAAATTAATAAATGGGATATTATGCTTTGTTAGTATAATACCAGTCACATAGCTAACATTTAATGTGTGTTAGACTTCCTCACTTAAGAGAACAAACTATTACCAGCAATTTAGGAAAATAATTTATGTGCAAATAATTGTTATGTCTTTCTTATATGTTTGTTAAGCTGGTTCCAGTGCAATAATTTAACAACTTGCTACAAATTATCTAGATTTGAAAGTTTTAAACTACATTTTTAAAGATGTATTTTCTTTTTTTGTTAGCATTACAATGTTTTTTAAAAATAATTTGTCAAGTTAGCTACCATACTACGTTTCATCCATATTGTAGCATGTGCCAGAACGTCCTTTATTTTTAAGGCAGAGTATTATTTCAGTATATGTGAATACCAAATTTTGTTTATCTGATTCTCTGTCAATGGACATATGGGTTACCTCCATCTTTAGGGGCAATTGAGCATAATGCTGCTATGAACTTAGATGTATAAATACCTGTTTGAGTCCCTGCTTTCACTTCTTTTATATATATGCCTGGAAGCGGAATTGCTGGATCATATGGTAATTCCATTTTTAACATTTTGAGGCAGCACTTGGAGCACTTACCGGTTTCCGTAGTGGCTGCACCGTAGGGCATTCCCACCAACAGTGCTCGGGGGTTTTTTCCACATCCTTGCCAACGCTTGTTATTTTGTTCTGTTGTTGTTTTATTGTGATAAGATACACATAACATCAAATTTATTGTTTTGACCATTTTTAAGTGTACAGTACTGTGGCATTAAGCACATTCCCATTGGTGTATACCCCTCCCTACCATCAATCTCAAGACCTTTTTCATTTTCTCTGAATGAAACTGTATCCATTAGATGTTAACTCTCCACCCTCCCCTCTCTCAGGCCTCTGGTCACCATCATTTTATTTTCTGTTTCTGTAAACTTGACTACTCTAGGAACCTCACATAAATGAAATCATTTATACTTTCCCTTTTGTGATTGGCTTATTTCAATCAGGATAGTGTTTTCAGGATTCATCCATGTTGTACCATAAGTAAGATTTCCATCCTTTTTAAGACTGGAATAGTCTATTGTATGTATATACATACATACAAAATGTTTATTGTTGATCTATTCTTATGTTGATGAACAGTTGGGTTGCTTCCATCTTTTGACTATTGTGAATAATGCTGCTATGATAATGGGTGTGGACATATCTGTTTGAATCTCTGTTTTCACGTCTTTTGAGTATATACCCAGAAGTGGGATTGGATCATACATTAGTCACCTTGAGCTGCCATAACAAAGTACCATAGACTGGGTGGTTTAAACATTGAACATTTCCTTCCTTCCTCCCTCCCTCTATCCCTCCGTCCCTCCATCCCTTCTGTCTTTCCTTCCTTCCTCCTTTCCTTCTTCCTTCCTTCCTTCTTTCCTTCCTCCCTCCCTTCCTTCTTTCTTTCTTCTTTCTTTCTTTCTTTCTTTCTTTCTTTCTTTCTTTCTTTCTCTTTCTTTCTTTCTTTCTTTCTTTCTTTCTTTCTTTCTTTCTTTCTTTCTCTCTCTCTCTTTCCTTCCTTCCTTCCTTCCTTCCTTCCTTCCTTCCTTCCTTCCTTCCTATTTTCTTTCTTTATTTCTTTTCTTCACATAAGAATTTACTAAAACTTTAAAGCTCAGTTAATCCTAATAGTATTTAAACTATTCCAGAGCATGGTTTAAAAAATAAATCTTCCAAATACTACACAGTAAATTGATCTCAAAATCAAAATTGGCACCAAAAAACTCCCACTACCAGGCAGTCTCATTATGACCACCAAATTAAAGTATTTTAAATAAAATAATGGGAACTTACTAGTCCAGTAATAAAAATATTATAACCAAATGAAGTTGTCTTCCTGCAATGTAAAGGCTCAAGGTTAGAAAAAATCAGCTAATATAATCTACCATGTCAATAAGAATTGGGAGAAATATATGATCATCTCCATAGTTGTAGAAAAATAATTTTAAAAATTATTTGAGTATAGTTGACACACAATGTTACATTAGTTTCTGGTATATAATACAGTGATTCAACATCTCTGTATGTTATGTTAGTTTCACCACAAGTGTAGCTACCATTATCCCCAGACGACCCTATTACAACAGCATTGACTATATTCCTAATGGTGTGCATTTTACCCCTGGGATTTATTCATCCAGCAAGTGGAAGCTGGTGTCTCCCACACCTTTTCACCCATTTTGCCCTTCCCTGCTCCTCTTCCCTCTGGCAACCAATCAGTTTGTTGTCTGTATTTATAGGTCTGATTCTGCTTTTTGTTTCTTTGTTTTTCATTTGTTTTGCTTTTTAGATTCTACATATGAGCGAAATAATATTGTTTTAATCTTTCTTAGTCTGACTTATCTCACTTAGCATAATACCTTCTAGGTCCATCCATGTTGTTGCAAATGGCAAGATCTCATCCTTCTTTATGTATGTATGTATATATGTATATATCAATCACATCTTCATCCATTCATTTATCAGTGAACTCTTAGGCTGCTGCCTTATCTTGGCTACTTTAAATAATGCTGCCGTAAACATAAGGGTGCATATATCTTTTCGAATTAGTGTTTCCATTTTCTTTGGGTAAATACCCAGTAGTGGAATTACTGGATCAGACAGCATTTCTATTTTTAATTTTTTGAGGAACCTCCGTATTGTTTTCCATGGTGACTGCATCAATTCAGCTTCCCACCAATGGTGCATGAGGGTTACTTTTTCTCCATATCTTTACCAACACTCGTTACTTCATGTGGTTTTTACTTTAGCCATCCCAACAGGTATAAGGTGATATGTTGTGTTTTTGATTTGTCTTTCCCTGACGATTAGTGACGTTGAGCATCTTTTCATGTGCCTGTAGCCATATGTATGTCTTCTCTGGAAAAATTTCTATTTAGATCCTCGGCCCATTTTTAAATCATATTGTTTGGTGTTTTTTTCAGTGTTGAGTTGTGTAAGTTCTTTATATATTTTGGATATTAACCTCTTATCAGCTGTATCATTTGCAAACATCTTCTCCCACTCTGTAGGTTGCTTTTTGGTCAAACATTGATTTTCTCACAGCTCTGGAGGCTGGAAGTCCAAGGTCAGGCTAGCAGCATGGTAAGTTTCTGGTGACAGCTCTCTTCCTGACTTCCTGCTCTCACCTCCTCACTATGTCCTCATGCAGCAGAGAGAGATTGCTCTCTTCTTCTTGTAAGGCCACTGATCCTATACAGAGGACCTCACCTTCATGACCTAATCTAAAGACTCTAATTATTCCCCCAAAGACCCCGTTTCCAAATACTATCACTGTAGGGGGTAAGGCTCTAATGTCTGAATTTGGGGGGTCACAAACATTCAATCCATAACATATTGTTATTCTATGTTTAAATTTTTGAAGAATTGCCATAGCCTTTTCCATAGTGCCAGACCCTTTTACATAAACACAGCAAGGCACGGGGTTCAAATTTCTCCACCCCCACAATACTGTGTAAGTGTGTGGGTTTATAATGGCCACTTTCATAGGTGAAAAGTGGTATCCTGTGGTTCTGACTGGCATTTCTTTAATAACTTAGTGATGTTGAATACAATTTTTCATGTGTTTATTGGCCACATGCATATCTTCTTTGGATAAATATCTTTTGATTCCTTTGCCCATTTTGTACTCAGGTTGTTTGGTTTTATCTTTTGTTGTGAATTTTAAGAATTCTTTACATATTTTAGAGATCAATCTGTTTTCAGATAGGTGATTGGCAAAGACGTCTTCCCATTCCATCGGTTTGCCTTTTCACTGTGTTGATGGTATTCTTTGATGCAGAAATGTTTTAAAATTTGATGAAATCCAACTTATCTATTTTTTTCGTTTGTTGTCTATGCTTTTGGTGTCACTTACAGGAAAGCATTGCTAAATCCAATGTAATGACTTTTTCCCCTTGTGCTTTCATTTAAGAGTTTTATAATTTTAGTTCTTATGTCTCAGTCTTTGATACAACCTGAATTAATTTGTGTACACGGTATAATGTAAGGGTCCAACTTCATCTCTTTTGCACATGGATATCCAGTTCTCTCAGCACTTTTTTGTTGCAAGGCTGTCCTCCTCCCAGAGAATGGTCTTGGCATTCTTCCTGCGAATCATTTCCCGATATATGCAGTGTCTGTGTCTGGCTCTCTAGTCTACTCCATGGTATATTATGTCAGTATTTATGCCAGTAGCATGCTGTTAACATTATTAACGCTTTGTAGTAAGTTCTGAAATCAGTAAGTGTGAAACCTTCAACTTGGTTTCTTTCATCGGAATTTGTAACTCAAGAGACTAACATTTCGCTTATTGTTTCATTCCACCGTGTAATACATATTGAAAAATATTGGGTCAAGGACTCATTTGTCAAAATCACTCAATATGTATATGCAAATGCTAAGGATGATGGTCAGCTTATGGAAGTCTTGAGAGAAATAGAAGACAGAGTCTTGTGTTCTTGGCCAGAGCTTGTTCATTGAGTCATGGAAGATTTTTTTAAACTGTTTTTTCAAAAATATGTATTCATTTTTGAGAGACTGAGTGTGAGCAGGGGAGGGGCAGAGAAGAGAGGGAGACACAGAACCTGAAGCAGGCTCCAGGCTCTGAGCTAGCTGTCAGCACAGAGCCCGACCTGGGACTCGAACTCACGGAACATGAGATCATGACCTGAGCCCGAAGTCACACGCTTAACCAACTAAGCCATCCAGGGTTCCTGTCATGGAAGATTTTTAAAAGAATAAATGTATCATCAACTCTAATTCAAGACTGTCCTGAAACAAAAGGAATACTTGCCCAATATAAAAAAAAAAAAACTGATGGAGGTGCGACTTAACTTTTTTTCATCAATATCATTCTGAAAAAAAGCTCATTTATAACCTTATTAAGGTGCTATAAATTATGTTTACGTGGAAGCTTTCCATAATGCATATCAATAAGAATGATTTCACATTTTCCTAACATGAATCAATATGTGAATTTTATTTCTAACTAATAGCAGTATATAAATTAGCCACAAAAAAAAAAAAAAACTGATGGAGGTGCGACTTAACTTTTTTTCATCAATATCATTCTGAAAAAAAGCTCATTTATAACCTTATTAAGGTGCTATAAATTATGTTTACGTGGAAGCTTTCCATAATGCATATCAATAAGAATGATTTCACATTTTCCTAACATGAATCAATATGTGAATTTTATTTCTAACTAATAGCAGTATATAAATTAGCCACAAAAATCACAAAAATTTGAAAGAAAACTTTGTGTGATACTGACAAATTTAGAGTTGCTTTTAAACTCTAATTTGAATTTGATATTAATAATACTAATTAACATGGGCTTTCAAATTAACTTAACTTGGGACAGATGTAGTTTTCAAGCTGATAAAAGTACTCCAAGGTCAAATTAATTCTTCTAAAAACTTTTTAAAAATTGTCAAAGGAGATACAATTGTGCAAGAAAAAGGATCTATTGGTAGTCAATTCAGTTACCAAACAACTTTGAAATATTTTTGGAACACCCTGGATATGTGAAACTACTCTTTTAAGAATAAATTTTATAAAATCGAAACACAGACCAAGTGCGTCTGATAAGAAATTTAGCTTCCAAGTTGACATGCCTTTATAGGAGTAAATTACACATTGGATTTTAAAGACTTAATACAAAACAAGTAAAATATCTGAATAATTTTGTAATACTTGCCTATTGAAATGATAATATGAATATAAAGGATCACTCTCTTTTGAGTATTTATTTATTTTGGAGAGGGAGAGAGACAGAGCATGAGTGGGGGAGGGGAAGAGAAAGAGTGAGACACAGAATCTGAAACAGGTTCCAGGCTCTGGGCTGTCAGCACAGAGGCTGATGCGGGGCTCAAACTCAGACTGAGAGATCAGGACCTGAGCCAAAGGTGGACCCTTAACTGACTGAGCCATGCAGGTGCCCCTGAATATAATGGATCACTATTAAAGTCACACAGATACTATAAAATTAGCCATTTCTACTAAAATAAAAAGGTTTTCCTGTAAGCCTTGTACCTAACACAGCTGATTATGTTAATTTCAGTCACTCAACATAACTGTCCTTCCATTGTCGCTGCCTGAAGTACTATTCCACGGACCAATCATTGGTGCTTTGCTCTGCTTAGGAGCAAACTTTTATAAGATATTAAAGATGAAAGTAGAATGGAAAATTGAGTTTTGTACAAGAACACCAAAATTCAAAGCAACCAAGATTTTAAATAATAATTTTTTAAAGATGATCACCCAGTTAGCCAAGGTACTTGAACAAAATATGAAGACACAAAAATCTGCATTATGAATAACACTCATCTATGACTAAATATAATATCCTAAAAGCTGACTGGAGGGTTATTCTTCTTCAGCGCCTGGTATTGTGATGATTGGTTTGGCTCTAGATATACAACCCAACAATGAAAACCATTATGCCATACCTGTCTCTCTTGCTGATTTTAGGTGTCCAATGTCTGCGTCTTCAAAGTAGTCAGTCCTAAATTGTGTTCCTTTTAACAAAAGTTGCTACACAGAGTCATGCAGGTGCCAAAAAAGGTGTACTGTTCTAGAAGAAAAACTAACAGGAAAACATTTAACTTCAGTGCAACCTCATTTTTCAAGCTGCTTTTCCACATTTATGCATTTATGCTACTCTAAGTACATTCACAAAAATGAGGCTACATCTACAGTGGTTGTTTAGTGGTAAAGTGTAGCTTCAGTTTAAAAAAATTAATACTATTAAAACATGATTCTAATTTTTGTAAAAGCCTGAAATAGACTTCTGTTCTTCTGTCTGACAGTTACTGCAGTAACAGCAATGAGTTGTAAATAGATAGTCTATGAATGGTGTAAAGCAGTTCAGACATAGAAGCAACAGTCTTCAAAGTATTGCTAGCTTTCAAAGATGTATCCCTATGGAAAACATGAGCAAGTTGTCAATTTTTTACTCAAGCCCTATGATAGAAAGTATAACATTGTTTGAAGATGGGCTAAGATTATTTCAACAAGTATATTGTAAACCCTAGGGAACTTACCAAAAATGTTTCAAATACAAATAATAAACCAATAAAGGAGATAACATGGACTAATAATAAATGCTCAGTTAAACCCAGAGAAGTTAAAAAAAAAGAGAGAGAGAGAGATAAAATACAAATAAATATGGTAGCAACATGGTAGATTTTAACCACTAATCACTTTAGATGCAGATGGTCTAGGTATACTGGCTAAAGACACAGACTGTCAAATTAAATTTTAAAAAAGCAAAACTAAACTGTGTATTCTCTACAAAATATTTATGTTAAATTCAGATGCTTAGGTTAAAAAAAAGTATAGAGCAAAATACACCAAAAGAAACCTGGTGTATGAAGTTGAGTTAGGAGAGCCTGAATGGCTCAGTTGGTTAAGCGTCTGACTTCGGCTCAGGTCATGATCTCATGGTTAGTGGGTTCAAGCTGCGCACTGGGCTCCGTGCTGACAGCTCAGAGCCTAGAGCCTGCTTCCAATTCTGTGTCCCCCTGTCTCTCTGCTTGTACCCTGGTTGCACTTTGACCCTCTCTCTCTCGCTGAAAAATAAATAAACATTTAAAAAAATTACAAAATAAAGTTGGCTCAGAATAAGGAATATCATTATGGATAAAAAGGGAGGTTACATAACGATACGGAGTCAATTCTCCAAGAAGATATAACAATCTTAAATGTCTACATACCTAACAACACAACCTTTAATATATAAGGCAAAAATCTGATAGACCTGAAAGTAGAAGTAAACAATTTTGCAATTATATTTGCAGAATTCAACTGTCCTCTTTTAGTAATTAGTAAAATGAGTAGACGAAAATTAGTAAGGATACAGATAACCTGAAAAATACTGTAACTAACTTGACTTAACTGACATGTATAAAGCATTCTACACAACAATAGCAGAATACATATTTTTCTCCACCATACAAGAAACAATCACCAGGATTCTGGCCCATAGACAAGACCTAAGCCTAAAGGAATAGAATTAATATAAAGTTCTTGAGCCATAACATAACTGAACTAACATCAATAATAAGAACATATGCTAGAAAGTATTATTACCCAAATACTTGGAAATTAAATAACACATTTCTAAATAACCTGCAGGTCAAAGAAGAGCAAAATTTAAAAATATTTTGAACGAACTTAAAAATGAAAATACAACACAGCAAAATTTGTGAGATACACCTAAACAGTATTTAGAAGAAAATTTTTAGCAATGACTGCTCATGTGAGAAAATAAGAAAGGTAAGAATAATCAGTTTAACTGAAGTTTTACCTTAAAGGAAATGGGGGGGGGGGAAGCAAATTAAACTTAAAATCAGCAGAAAGAAATCAATAAATAAAATAGAAATCAATGAAAAAAAAGAAAGAAAAATAGAGAAAAGGCAATGAAACCAAAAGCTGGTCATTTATATCATTTCTAAATGTGTGGAATGTAATTAAAACAGCATGTGGGAAAACTTATAACTGCTTAAATACTCACTAATAGGTAGATATGAATGGAAGGACTTTTGTTAAACAATGTCACTTAATTTCGTGAAATCTCGAGCTACATATCCGTAATGACTTGGGAAATCTTTAAAAATGACAACACAGGAGGCTCCTAAGTGCCGCATCTCCCATGAACACCCTGAATGAACAGTTACACAGGGAACATTTCTTGCTGAAAGAAAGCCAGACACTAGCTGAGCAATAACTATACACTGGGCAAATGAGACTGTGGTACCACATCAAAACCAGTGGGAAAGGCTGAGACACACTCTTGTACAACATCATACAATTGGGAGGGATCCTCAAACTCCCAGCTTCTCCCTAAGGATTACAGGATTTGGACACCACATCTAGGGCCCCAACTTTTAAGTCCTACATTCAAAGGAGGTGCACCCCCAACACCTAAGTGTGAAAGCCAGTAAGGCTTGCATCCTTGAGACCTACAGGACCATAGCAAATAAGGGAGCAGTATGAGTAGGTGTGAGCATTTGCCACATCAATTACCCTGTTGCTCAACACAGAGGCAGTAGGCAAAAAATGCCCATCTCTCAGTCTTTCCCTAACAAAGATCGATTTGTGTATTTCAAGAGCTGCTGCCTGAGGGTCAAGCTTCTAATGTAGCACACATTTAGGGGCTGACTACCATCATCCCCAGAGATCATGGAAGCCGATGGACACTTCCTCTACCCTCTCTCTCTAGCCCACTCCAAGCTGTCAGTGTCTCCCTGGAGGGAACTAGCACACACACCTAGCACCCCAGATTTTGTGGCTGCCTCTTGAGTGACAGGCCCCTGGATTGCTTGGCTCTGATAGCAAATGGGGCTCCATTAAAAAATCCCACAGGACTGTAGCAAGCAAAGAAGTTCTTAACGGGGTCAAGAGAAATCCTCTCTTCCCCTACACAGACAGGCTGAGTGCAGAGGAAGCAAAAATGCCACCTACCGGATTCTCCCTGGAAGGGGCTTAAATACATACTTTCCCAGCTACTGCCTGATGGTCTGGCTTGCATCTGGGCACTGACTGTTCTTTCTCTTTGGGACACTGATGGAGTGGGCATGGTTTCAACGACTGGGAGCCACTAAGAACAAATTAGGTGGTTGGGTAATCACAAAAGATAGTCATGAGTATAGGCTAGGATAATTGATAACTTTCATCTCCTATAATGAGACCACTCTGTCAAGACTAGGAGAGGTAGCTATTATATCTAATGCACAGAAACCAATAGAGAGAGTCAAGGAAAATGCAGAAACACAGGAATATGTTCTAAATCAAAGAATGAGATAAAACTCCAGAAATAGATCTTAATGAAATGGGGCTAAGTACTTAGCCTGATAGAGCATTCAAATTAACAATCATAAAGTTGCTCCCCATGATCAGGAGAACAATGCAGGAACAAAGCGAGCATTTCAATGAAGAGATAGAAAATATTAAAAAGTATCAAGCAGAAATCACAGAACAGAAGAATAAAATAACTGAACTCTGACTTCAGTAGAGATTTCAATAGCAGGCTAGATCAAGTGGAATAAAAGATTCGTCTTCACTAATCTCAGGGCAGTAGGATTCATCTACTCAGAGGAGCAAAAACAGAAAAAAAGAATGAAAAAGATTGAAGATTGTTTAAGGATTTATGGGACTCTAACAAGTAGACCAATATACACATTATACAGGTCCCAGGAGAAGAAAGAGAGAAATAGGTAGAAAACTTATGAAAATAATAATGATAATAATAGTAATAATAACAGCTATAAATTTACCTAATTTAGGGAAAGAAACAGGCATTTAGATCCAGAAGCCAATAACGTTCCAAAAGAGATGAATTCCAAAAGACCCACACCAAAGCACATTATAATCAAACTGGCAGGAGTTGAAGACAAGGAGAGACTCTTAAAACAGTAAGAAAAAATGTCTTGTTATCCACAATGGAACCTTTATAAGACTATCAGCAAATTTTCAGCAGAGACTTTGCATGTCAGAGGGAGTGGCATGACTTATATATTCAAAGAGCAGAAAGAAAGAAAGAAAGAAAGGAAGGAAGAAAGAAAGAAAGGAAGGAAGAAAGCAAGCCCACCAACCAAGAATATTCAATGCAGCAAAGTTGCCTTTCAAGATTGAAGGGAAGAGGGGCACCTGGGTGGCTTAGTCGGTTAAGCGTCCGACTTTCGCTTAGGTCATGATCTCGCGGTTCGTGGGTTCGAGCCCCGCGTCGGGCTCTGTGCTGTCTGCCAGCTCAGAGCCTGGAGCCTGTTTCAGTCTGTGACTCCCTCTCTCTCTGACCCTCCCCTGCTCACGCTGTCTCTCTCTCCTAGAAATAAATAAAACATTTAAAAAAAAAAAAAAAAGATTGAAGGGAAGATAGTTTTCCAGACAAACGAAAGCTGAAGGAGTTTATCACCGCCAAATGGGTCTTGTAATAAACATTAAAGGGGCTTCTTCACAGTGAGATGAAATGATGACAATAAGTAACAGGAAATCATATGAAACTATAAAACCGACTGATAAAGCAAATATGTAGTTAAATGCAGAATTCTTTAATGTTTCGTGGTCATGGGCAAATCTTGAGATTTCTTCATAAAGTTAGTAAAGAGCAATTATGAAATGTAAGGTAGGACAGGAGAATCAGTTTGACCGCAAAGGCGTTTACACATATATTAGTGAAAAGTGCTTTCAGCAGCTGAGAATGTGGAAAACAGCTTCCTTAAAATTATAACTACCACTTAGAAAACCTGTGTTTACTTACACGTGCCCAGTTTGACAACTGCTTTCCTACCCAGTGCTTCAACTCCTTTTGCAATAACCCCCCCCCCCATCGTGCTCATCCAAGTTTAGCAGGCTTCCTCAGTTGAGAGAGCTACTTCCTGACGATATGTGTTCCATTTGTAGATGTATTCACTTAAAATCGTTCCTTAAATATATTTTCTGAGTTAAGCCAGAATCTATTTTCTCATAGTTTCATCAATTGATTTTGGTATACTGATATATCCAACTATGTGTCTCTCTTAAGGTCTTTCCCATATTTGAAGATAGCTTTCATGTTTTTCTGCAGTTTTCTCCAGGTTAGAAATCTCTATCCCTCTTACCTATTAAAATAAGTTAATTTGAAGTTTGTTTACCATCGTGGAAACCTTTCTTTGGAATGATAGCAGTTTCTGAATGATTCTCTTAAAATCTGGGATCCAGCACTGAACACGGTTTTCTAAATGTGATCTGGCTAGTCTAAATTTTGTGGGACTATCATGTGCCTTGCTCTGCACGCTATAATTCACTTATATTTATGTTTTGCCTTGACAGCTTTATTATAGTAACTCATCATGAGCCTAAAGCCAAGTAAAATTCTAAGCCCTCTTTCCTTGATTCTGTAAAATTAGTTTCTAGATACTTTGAATAACCTTGTCCAATTTTTTTTTTTTGGCATTGAAATCTCTTAAATTCCTGGTCTTAAATAACCCTATGAGTTTATCTTGATTTTAGGCCATCTAAACACTGTTAGATATGCTATTAATGATTACCCAAGTTATCAATAACACAGTTAAGAGAGAGCAGATGGAGGTGTGCATCACACCAGTAGATGTCCTTTTCTGACTGGAATGATATTTTTATATTATTACAGTCATATTATACCATAAAAAAACACTCTCTGAGAAAGTATCTTCAACACTGAAACTGCCCCCACAGAATTACCGTTCAGACTGTCTTAGTTTAAGCATTATCCTTGAAAGACTTGTATACCTTCCAGGCAAACAGTTAGTGACCTCTGTTTCTGAGAATTCTACCTATGATTATAGTTGCCAAGGATACTGTATTGACTATGACAACATTTCTCTTGGTGCTTAAATTCTAATAAGTAAGCAATAAATACGTGAGTAAACAAGCCAGATAATTTCTAAAAGTGTTAAGTGATGTGAAGAAAATTAAAGTTCAGTGAAATAGTCACAAGGAGGTTGTTTTAAGTCAAATGGGTAGAGAAGGCCTCTTTTAGGTGACCTTTAAGTGGGATTTATTTATTTAATTGTTTACTTTTGAGAGAGAGAGAGGCAGAGCACAGGCAGAGAAGGGGCAGAGAGAGAGAGGGAGACACAGAATCCGAAGCAGGCTGCGGGCTCCGAGCTGTCAGCACAGAGCCAGCTGTGGTGCTTGAACCCACGAACTGTGAGATCATGACCTGAGTCAAAGTCAGACGCTTCACTGACTGAGCCACCCTGATGCCCCTTAAGCGGGATTTAAGTAAGCATAAGGAAATATCGGGAATAGGAAGAAGATAAAAGGTCAAGTTGACCAGGAAGACTAAATGTAAACACATCTTTTCTACCTATTTTGCAATCCTATTTTCTTTAGTCATTCCCAAATTTCCCAGAAAGATGTCCTAGTAACAATAGCCAACCATGGACCCACAACCCTACAGTTATAGCTCTGGGCTGATATAACCCATTCTGGAGGGTACGAGTGGGGGCTAAGGCTAGTCCCCTCCCTGAAGACAAAGGTAATGAGAAATCACAAACCATCATGGCTACCTCTGTTCAATGGTCATAACAATCCCCAATTCTCTATAACTTTCTAAACAACATATTGTTGATCATAGCACAAAAGAAAAAGAGAATGAAGTGATGCAAATTCACAACTCCTGGAAACACAAGTCAAAAAAGTATGCTCTGTACTCAAGAATTCCATAAGCAAAGGTCTACCACTTTCACAGATATGTGGAAAATCTGAGGATGTATTCAGGGAACAGAAAATAATTCAATTTAGCTATAGCACAGGATATATGAAGATTACAAAGATAAGATATAAATACAGGTTGGGGAAATATCACCGAACACTATGCCAAGCAGTTGACCTTAGTTCTGTATGAAACTGAGAGCTATGGAGAGTTGTTTGAAGATGGTAGTGATGGATCTAGAAGCTTAGTGCAGAACACAGGTTAGGCACATGGAGACCGCTTAATAATCCAGTTAAGAAGTAATGGTTGCTTGGGGCACCTGGGTCATTCAGTGGGTTAGGTGTCTGATTCTTGGTTTCAGCTCAAGTCATGATCTTGCAGCTTCATGAGTTTGAGCCTCGCATCGGGCTCTGTGCTGGCAGTGCAGAGCCTGCTTTGAATTCTCTTTCTCCCTCTTTCTCTGCCCCTCCCCCACTCACACTGTTTCTGTCTCAAAATAAATAAACTTTAAAAAAAGAAAAAGAAATTCTTTAAAAAAAAAAAAAGAACTAACGGTTGCTTGAATTTAAGTAATGCATTAACCTGTTGGTGATTTCTTTCTTTCTCTTTCTTTCCTTCTTTTTTAAATTTATTTTTACTTTTTTTTATTTTAGAGAGATAGAGTTCAAGCAGGGGAAAGAGAGGGAGAGAGAATGAATCTAAGCCGGCGCCACACCCAGTGCGGAGCCCAATGCGGGGCTCGATCCCATGACCCTGGGATCATGACCTGAGCTGAAATCGAGAGTCAGATGCTCAAATGATTGAGACAGCCAGGTGCCCCAGCGATTACTTTTCAAAGTGCTAAATGGCCACAGATAACAAGAATGCAGTAAAACAGGCAATTTAATCCATTTCTGGTATTTCTGGTGGAAGTTGGATTTTTCTGGTGCGCAATGGTATGGGGTTGGATTTAAGAGACCAAGGGGAAGAGGTCAAAAAGACCAGAGGACTAATAGTTAACAAGAGTGAGAGAAGAGAAGCTACTGAAGATAATCAGGAGGTCGTAGGCCCGATCATGCAAGAAATGAGGAGTTCAGGAGGAGATGGCGGGAATGGGGGCAGCAGACTCAAAAAAGCCACAACAAACTGCCCTCGCCTCATCCACGAGGCACCGTGGAACCGCGGACAAACTCATTTTAACTCGGTGTGTATATTTACATTACGCCAGTGGGGGAGAGCCCTTGTCATAGTTTATTTCAAATATCCTTTCCAGACAATTCTGAGATTTTAGAATGGAGTTGCAAAAATCTCAGACTGTAAACAACTTTAAGTTAGGATTGATGAATTTATTGTCTACCATATCAGCTTTACTTGGTTTCTAGCAAATACATACATATATGCATCTATAAACAAGTATATGGCTTTTATAAAACATTTGAAATTAATAGAAAAATATAAGCACAACGGCCTCCTCTCCTATTTCTCTAATAATTGCCTATGCACTTGCCTTTGTGTATGTTTACCATACTCTGAGATTCTACTAGTTTTGTAGCAGTTTTTCATCATTATGAGTAATTTTCCATATATCCGTAAACATTTAAAGCCGTATTTCCTGAGTAGCTTTATTAATGTTTCTAATAACATTGAGGTAAACACAGATCTACATAAATCTTAATATATATCTATACACTACTTTCTTAACATAAATGTCTAGACCTGGTATGTCTCATTTAAAGGGCACAGTTTTAGTGCTGACAGCTCAGAGCCTGGAGCGTGCTTCAGATTCGGCGTCTCCCTCTCGCTGTCTCTCCCCAACTCAGGTCTCTGTCTCTCCCTTTCTCTCTCAAAAGTAAATAAACATTAAGAAAAATTAAAGGACACAGTTTTAGGGCTTTTGACATATTATCAAACTATACTCCGGTAAACTTGGCCATTGCACTTCCATCAGTAATGCATTAAAGTGCGTTTTGCTACACTCCTGCCAAATGTAGACATTTGCATTTTAAAAGCAATTCTCAAAAAATGAAAAATAATATTGCATTTTTGGGGTTTTATTTTTGGTATTGCATTTTAAGTTTTATTTGAATATAGGAAAGTTAAACTTTCTTACCGGCTTATTGGACTTCTGTGATTTCTTTCTATTCAAGAATTGAATCTGTGAACATTTTCCTTCTGGACTTTGTCACTTAATTGTGTCTTTAAGATTTTATATAAGGATATTTAGCTTTCCTTTTTTATACCTGCCCCCAAATTTGCTTATTTGTATTTTGTCTTGTGCATTTTGAACATACAAGTTGTAAATAATTCTATATTAATGTTTTCCTGTTCAGCTGCATCTTTTATTTTTATGTATATCTTCTTACAAACTGTGTACGTTCATCTATATTTTCATCTAGCTCGTTTTTTATCAGATGTATGTATTGATCTATCACCAATATGATGTACGGTAATTTTTATGACGTGGACATACAGTAAAACTTTAAAATTTTCAATGTTTTCATTGCAGTTGACCACCATCGTCAACTTTCTTATCGCTTCTCATAGCTAGTCAGTTTCTTTAGTTTTCAGGTGATAATTTATCCACAATCTAGTGTACCTTAATTCTTTTTTTCTTTAATAGTTGATAGTTCTCGTTGCTTTTTGTTGTTTCATTGAGAATTTCCAGGACAATGTTGGGGGGAAACAGATCAGAGACAAAGGCATGAACCCTCGCCTAGTTCATCTTCTTGTATCCCTCAGAGTATTTGGAATGTGTTCCGACATAAAATCACTTACTGAAGAGCTGAGTCATCTTAACGGTTTCTGGTGAATCACACATCTGTAATCGTCACAGATCTGACCCGAAGACACTAGGGTCCCCATTTCCCTGATGGAGAAACTGAGGCTCCAGCTGCAGGTAACAGAGCCCCGGGGCCATTCTTACAAGAACCGCCCCTGGATTCCGACATCCCTCGGGACACCGCTGGTGCAGTCGCCCCTCCGCAGCGCCGGACCGCACGCAGCGTCACGCCGGCAGGGCGCGCACGGGCGCGGGGGGCTCGGCTGCGGCTCCAGCCAGGGGCAGGTGGGGCCCCACGCGCCGTCCCGCATCACCGACCCCCCCCCTCCCCGCTGCGCTAGGCCGGGGGCGGCCGGGGTCCCCGGAGCGCCGGCTCCCGCCCCCTCCCGGCTCGCCTCGCGTCTGCCCCCTGCAGGCCGGCCGCGGGGCTGCTCGCGGGCGGGGCGGGCCCGGAGCGCGAGCCCCACAGCGGGGTGCGGCCATGGCGCGGGTGCTCATCGTGGGCGCCGGGCTGACGGGCAGCCTGTGCGCGGCGCTGCTGAGGAAGGAGACGCCCCGGCCTGTGCACCTCGCGGTGTGGGACGAGGCCGGGGACTCAGGTGGGTTGTCCGGCGGCCGAAACCGGGGCAAGGAAGCCGCCGCCGGCCGGGGCTCCCGAGGCGGCGAGCGGCCCCCTGGGGAAGTCCGTGAGAAAATCCAGTCACTCTCGCGGCCGGCAAGTCCCGGCAGCGGCATGCGCAGTGCGCGCCCGGTCACGTGACTGGGACCTCCGAGCACCCCACCCCCACCCCGCCCCCAGCCCAGGGCCCGACGGAGGTGGGGGGGGGCGGGGAGCTGCGATCCTGGTGTGCGGGGCGAGGAGCGAGGGGCGAAGCGGGAGGATGGGGAGGAGGGAAGGGGGCGCGAGGAGTGAGAGGAGCGGGAGGAGCCCCGGGCGGGAGAAAGGGAGGAGCCTGGAGGAGCTCTGGCAGTTTGCAAAGCTTGGGCCTCTGGCAGGCGCCAGTACCCTGCCTGTGCCTTCGCGACCTTCTCCGCGTTTCCAGGATCCCAAAGTGCCCGTTGACCAGGACTTGACGAAGATCTGGTTTACAGAATCCTTGTTTTCTCATGCAACCTGAGCGCAGGAGAGCATTCCCAGCCTGATTCATTCTGACATGTCATTCCTTGTGTCGTTTTACTTTCTCCATTCATCCATTCCTTTTATTTAAATACAGGCGCCGAACTGAACAACGCCTGCTGCACTGTTCTTGTGCCCTCTTTGAAAAAAGACCTCACGGTGACCATATTGCCTCTGTGAACTGTTTCCTGACCATGGGAGAGTGCAGAGCCCCAAACTAAAACTATAACAAAAACAAACACAAAAAAGGGCTTTTAAAAATACAGCCATAATCTCTTCGGCCTAACCTGAGGTGAACAGCATGCATTGCAGGAGGTTCATTCTGATACACTGACGTGTCCTGTGGGTTCATTCAAGGGGGAAGAATGGCTACAGCCAGGAGTCCTTGCGATCCGCAGAGCACCCTTGACTTGGGAGCGCAGTACATCACCCGCACTCCCCATTATGCTAAAAAACACCAGAGGTGAGTTCGTTGAAAGGAGTGGAATCATTCTTACTGACTGTATGATGTCAAATTTTTGAAATCCTCCATTTTTAACTCTGCGTCTTGTAATACAGTGAGGGCGTTACAATATGATTGCTGTCGGTGGTGGTAGCCCTAAGAGGTGAACCTGAGTGAAGTGGGCAAGGGGATACAGGCCACCTGGGGTTGTTGAGATCAGATGACAGCTGACACTGCGGGGGTGGTGGCGGGGGAGGCTCAGGAAACAGCGTGGCCCAGTCAGTGTTGAGGAAGAGGCCGGCTAGCTGTGATGGAAGACAGTCTTCACCAAATTCAAAATTGGTGCCCTGCTTGCCTTTCTGTTTATCTTTTTCACTGACTTTAATTTTGAAATATGCACAAAATGGGCCTTCTGCTAATGTCAGCAAAAGATTTATGGGTTGTCAAAACGTTTCTGTTATTCGCTTGAATTATATTTTATTAATTTTTTTCGTAAGCTCTGTGCCCAGCATGAGGCTTGAACTCACAACGACTGAGCCAGCCAGGTGCGCCCTGAACTACGTTTTAGTAACAGAAAACATATGTTGAGTTGTTCATATCAAGATTTCCAATTATTATTTAGAATGTTGATCTCTAAGAATTCTTGGATGAGAATGTATAGTATTTTTAAGCTAACTAATTATGGTATGTAATTATATATATTGATTTATTTCAGTTTTTATGATGAGCTGTTAGCTCATGGCATTTTGAAGCCTCTGACCTCTCCAATTGAAGGGATGGTGATGAAAGAAGGAGACTGTAACTTTGTGGCACCTCAAGGACTTTCTTCAATTATTAAGCATTACCTGAAAGAATCAGGTGCGGATAAGGTTTTCTCTGCCTTCTTTTAAAGTTAGCGTTTACAAATAAAAGTTGAATATATAATTAAATATTAATACTATACAGAAAGTTATAAAATAGATGTTCTCCTATTTACCAATCAATGGCTAATTTTCTTTTCCTAAAGTAATCCTTAATAATAGTTTTCAATGTATGCTTCCAGAAAAATGTTAACGCACCTGTTGATTTTACATGACTATCTTTATATATTTATTCATGTGTGTTTATATTTATTCTTTTTAAGATCTGCACACAGGATTATTTACAGAAACCATTCTACATGTTGTTTGGTCTGTTTATAATAAATCAACCACCTCCCCACCCGCAAGATATTCCAGAGCTACTCTACAGTCTGGAATCAGTTAAGTTTACAAGCCCAGAGTCTGTTGGGTGAATCAGTAGTCTCTTAGGTTGGGCCAGACTTCCAGGGAAGTTATCTGCATGGGATTCGTCTAATCATGAATGCTTCAGGGTGGACTGAAACCTCTAAAGCCAGTATTGAACTAGAACAATTTCCCAGAACACTGGCCCGAGTGACGGAGATTCTGATTCAGTAGATCTGGGTTAGGTCTCAGAATGTACATTTCTAACAAGTTCCGAGTTGGTGCTGGTGTGGGTCCAGGGTCCACACATACAGAACCACCGACACACACCCTGCAGAACAGTTTGGGACCACTGGAACACACATCCGGGACATCTGGCTGGGTCTGGAGAATTTCTGGGTCAGTGGATGTCAGTTCCCTCAAACACGCACACCTACTCACCACCACCAGTAAGCACGCGATGCTCTTTTCAAAGGGAATATCACGTGAAAACACAACAGAGTAAAACATAAAATTACTTGACTCACTTGAGTTCCACATCGGGGCCAGGAACAGAGTGAGGCAAGGCAGGTGACCTGGTGGGGGCGAGACGTCCTAAATAAACAGAAGCAAGCTAAGTGGAGCCCCTCAGGCAGGAGTGGGGATGTGTGTCTGAGTGGAAAGCTCCAGTCGCCTGCACCTTCCCCAGGCGGGGGGCTTAGAGAAACCCTGAGGCAGGCTGGAGGCAGTCTACAAGCTCCTGCTCTTATCTGTGAAGGAATGATGCTAATTGCCTCGAAGAGATTGACCCCTGGGCCTAGTTAGCCCTTGTTCCCTGTGACATATTTGCATTTGATTGAAAAACTGGGAGTGCCTGCAATGTTGCAGCAATGCTCAGGGGACCGTGGAGGGCGTGAGCCCTGACCTGAAAGAGAGGGTATATTTGGATAGATCAGACATGCTTAAAACACTTAGGTATTTTGAATTAGCGACAGAGTGAATGGTGAAGGCACTGATGGTGGAGGGACCTCACACATGGAGGGGGGGGTCACACTGAGCTGGAGCAGCCACAGGAGGGACCCTCAGGGCCCAGGTTGGACGCAAGCTGGTATTTGAGCGGCTGGGAAGGTGAGGGGTCGCAGGTGACGATGGGCAGGATCTTTGGGTGCGCTTTTCTGTCTTGTTCTTTCTCCATTTCTTTTCTGTTCCTGAGGCTGCATTAAAAGTGGATTTGTTTTGGGGGAGCCTGGGTGGCTCAGTCTGTTAAACATCCTGCTTTCAGTTCCAACTCAAGTCATGATCTCACGGTTCATGAAATTGAGCCCCTCAGCCTCTTAGTACAGAGCCTGCTTGAGATTCTCTCCGTCTCTGTACCTCTCCCACACTCGTGCTCTGCCTGTATCTCTCAAGATAAATAAATAATAATAAAGAAAAGTAGGGGCGCCTGGATGGCTCAGTCGGTCAAGTGTCCAGCTTTGGCTCATTATCTCGCTTGTGGGTTTGAGCCCCACATTGGGCTCTGTGCTGTGTGGAATCTGTTTGGGATTCTCTCCCTTTGCCCCTCCCTCGCATATACACTCTCTCTACTTAGATAAATAAGCTTAAAGAAATTTTAAAAAAAGATGGAGTTGTTTTGAAATCAAAGTTTTCTGAAAATTGAAATGTAAGGTCCCAAGGAGGCTTATTGATCCAATAATATTTTCTTATGTTTTGGTTTGTAGGTCATGTTTCATTCTCTTCAACAGGTGGTGATTAGAGAGTATGTGCTGAGCACTATACTGTATATGCGATGTGGTATTCCTGGAAACGAAACAGGCATAATTCGTTGCTCATGGGCTCACAGATTAATAGGGAAGAAAATAATAATCAAATAAGTACTCAAATAATTATTAAAATACCTTGGTGATAAATGCAAAGAAGGAAAATGTGATGACTGGCCATCCTAGACTGTATTTCTCTTAGTTCCGATTCTTCTTCCTTTTTTTTAATGTTTTATTTATTTCTGAGAGAGAGAGAGGGAGAGAGAGAGAGAGAGAGCGTGAGCAGGGGAGGGTCAGAGAGAGAGGGAGATACAGAATCTGAAACAGGCTCCAGGCTCTGAGCTGGCTGTCAGCACAGAGCCCGATGCGGGCTCGAACCCACAAACCGTGAGATCATGACCTGAGCCGAAGTTGGACGGTTAACCGACTGAGCCACCCAGGTGCTTCCCGATTCTTCTTAATAAGGGTAATCGATCCACCAATTAATAAAAGACAGCAGTGATTATTTTTATTGATTGTAGCAGAAGTTGCCCCCTCCCCAGAGCAGCTATTGATCTGGAGGTCCCAGAGTGCCAGAAGGAGAGGAAGTTCTACTGAATGAGAAAGACAGTGAACCCCTGGGGCTGTGGACGACAGACTGCACTGTGTCCTTCACCTGAATGGAGTCAGTTCCTGACTCTTCTTCTCTGTGTCCCCGTTCATATGGAAATCCTGATCCTGCGGACTTGACTTCGCTTTCGGAACAGGTGCTGACGTCCACTTCCAACGCTGTGTGACCCAGATCGACCTGAGAAATGACAAGTGGGAGGTCTCCAGGGAAACGGGTCCCCCCGAGCAGTTTGACGTTGTTGTCCTCACGATGCCCGTCCCGCAGATTCTGCAGCTTCGAGGGGACATCGCGAACTGTGAGTCCCAGCCTGCGCCGTTGGCCTCCGGGAATGGGGTTTCCCTCACGGGGCGTGAATTCAGCTAAACTGGCTTAGCAAAGGGTATGTTATGGATTCTGTTGCTTTGCACATTTTACAAACTGATACCATGGCCTTGCTCGTGACATTGGTCTAGGTCAAACTGACACCAGGAGAATTTTGGGCTGAACATTTTTCTTACTGCCTGTGCCTTGAAGAAGTAAGTATTTTTGACGGACAGGCATGCAATTTGGCCTAAATGAAGAGCAGTCTCTTTGTGGCCATCCTGGGGGAAAGGACGGTTCTGATGAGTCAGGAATTGATGGTGTCAGCCCTCTGGCCAGCCTCATCTTGGATGGCTCCTGGGTGTGCTCGGAACTTGTCCCTTCACCTTGTACTTACCTGGCTTCTCCCTCCTTTTTTTAAAAACAGCTTTTTAAAGGTGTTTTTCACATACCATGTGAGGTGTAATTCACACGCAATACAGTTCATCGATTTAAAGTGTACGGTTCAGTAGTGTTTGGTATGCTCCCCAGTATATGCGACCGTGACCCCATTTTCATACCCTTGGAAAGAAACCCCACCTCCTAAAGCAGTCACCCCTTTCACTCTGTCTCCATCTCCGTCCCAGCCCCAAGCAAATAATCTACTTTGAGTCTCTGGAGAGTTCTCTGTTACCTGGATTCTTTTGCTTTGCTTCCGTGTGTGCCAGTTTTCCCTGATTGTCCCCCTGTCTTTCGTCATGTCTGACTAGACCTGACTCATCAGAGCTATTGACTTCTAGAAGTTCCCTCATCTTGCCTTGCAGCCTGAGGGTTATAGTGGTGGTGGGTAGGGCTTCAGGGCCATGGGATCGTGGTGGATATGGTCACACCTGGAGCTTTTGGCTTTCTCGTAGGACCAAAGTTGACATTGGATTTAATGGCAGAATTGCCTTTTATATCCCCATTAGAATGAAAACTGGTAACAAATAGGATTTATAGATCTTAGATGTAGAGCTGTAATGGGCATTGTTCTCTGAGGAAGAACATAGCTACTTGTTACACGTTGAAAGCCATGTGTTTTTCCTTGAGTATCAGGTCCACAACGTGGGAACACTGTAGCTCCTTTTCTAGCACAGTCTGGATGACAGCATAGAAGGGACTGGAATGTTTACCAGATAGCTAAGGACGCAAAACTAATTTCGAGGATCTCCTTTATGAAGTCTACTTCTGCTCTGTTGTTCTGCTGTCACTTTAAAGTAGATGACTTATTGCCATGGAGTCTGGCAGGTGGGTTGATTTGGAGACTGGTAAATGACATACTGTAACGCTTAACCTGAAACAGCCATTTGTCATTGTGTTTGGTTGTGCCGTAAACTGCATCTTCCAGTTTTTAAAAGTCACCTATTTTTGTGTATGAGGCGAGATCCTTCAACGTTGCATTTTGAAAGTACTTCTCCGTATTTGTGTACTTGGTGACATATAAACATAATGTCATGGCGTGGACTAACTCGTTAGGTAGATATTTGAGCGTCTGCTAATTAGTCATTTTATTTAGATCTCCTGTATCCTTATTTTTTTGAATATTTGAACTGTGTGGGGTTGAGAGATACCTTAAATCTACTATTATTTTATTACTTTCTGTCTCTCCTGGGGCAATTGCTCTTAATTCTTTTCTTGCAATTTTTGCTTTGTGATCTTTTGATACTGTATTATTTGATTCATAATGTGTCTTTATTACAATGATACTGTCTAACTTAAAAAGGTCTCTTTAGTCTCATTTTAATTTTAGTTTGCTTTCACATCAACCTTGATTGATAAATGAGATGCTCATTCTTTTATTTTTGTGATGATTCAACATTTTTACTTCTAACCTTTCAAAGATACTTTACTTCAGATCCACCTCTTTTGTATTTGTTCATCCAGTCCAGTAATTTCAGAAGGATAATACTTCTTGTTCATTATTTATGGGGTGTGTTGTCCATTTTTGACTTGAAGACAGCTTTTTTCTTATTTTCATCTGTTTCCTCCTGATACTATACTTACTTTGAGATTTTTTTTCTGTTCCTTTGATGAGGATCTCACAGTGCCTCAAAAACTACAATGTGCCTCCTTTCCATATCTGCCATTTTGTCTCAACTCACTTCAACTTTGGTCTTGGCACTTCTTCCTACTTCCTTTTGCTGGCCCTCTCTCCTCATCACCCATGTGATTTTTCAAAGAGGTCATATATTCTTCACTGTTTTCATGTCATTGCCTCATTCCAGCCAAATTTTCCTGAGATGTAGTTTTCATCAGCTCATTTGTTAGGTTCTGTTATGTTCTATCATCTTCCTTAGTTTTTCTGCATGAGTCCCTGTCTAATGATTACCCATTTTTCCATGATGCCATGTCTCTCGACTTTGTGAAGCATAGTGTTGTCAAGAGCGGCCAGGCATTTCAGTAAAAGTATGTTGCTGCTGATTATAAAGATTGGGTGCTAGTGATCATTAATATAATAAGATTTTTATTAACATGGAAAGATTTCACAATATTTTTAAATTAGAAAAGGTATATAGATGCATCTATATTTCTTTTCCTTCCACAAAAAATGGTTTGGCAGAAGCATATTAACATTGTATTGCTTGAAGATGATTTTCATTTCCTTTCTTACAATTTTGTGAATAGTCATAACTTTAAAAATAAAGACAGTTTACTTTTACTATAAAAATGATAACAGCACCATTTAAAAAAGTTTTTTTAAACGTTTATTTTATTTGGAGAGAGACAGAGCACAGGTCGGGAAGGGGTAGAGAGAGAGAGCGAAACACAGAATCCAAAGCAGGCTCCAGGCTTTGAGCTGTCAGCACCAGAGCCCGATGGAGGGCTCAAACTCATGAGCTGTGAGATCATGACCTGAGCCAAAGTTGGGCGCTCAACAGACTGAGCCACCCAGGCACCCCAATAACGACACCATTTTACAAAATGTTATCAAGCTGCAAAGGGAATAGAACTTTTTTCCTTTTCCTTTTTATTGGAGGCGTACCGTATGGTATGTGGGCTCTTTGTGATGAAAACATTTATGAATGAATGACCTGGTACACTTGACTGAGGGTGAGGGTCTTTGGGTTATGGTTTGGCTCAGTTCAGAGTTGGACCCCATGCAAATAATTCTGTGTTCAGGTCACTGTTAAGAAGTAAACCATCCCAGCAGAATGTGCTAACACTGACCCATTGCTACCTATGGATCTAAAACAAAAAGAGATAAAAAAAATCTGCTTTCTCTTCAAGTTATAAATCTCAACAATGAGCTCAGTATGAGGATCATTAATGTCTTCTCCGTGTTTTCTGGAGAACCTTATGCCCCTGTTTGATGAGCCATCTTCCCTTCTTGTGAGAAAGACCTTCATCTACAAAGCCACGTGTTGCCATCTAGTGGGCCCTGTGTGCATTGCCGCTCACCTCAAGAATTTTTAAACTACAGGGGCGCCTGGGTGGCTTAGTCGGTTAAGCGTCTGACTTTCGCTTAGGTCATGATCTCGCGGTTTGTGGGTTTGAGCCCCGTGTCGGGCTCTGTGCTGACTGCCAGCTCAGAGCCTGGAGCCTGTTTCAGTCTGTGACTCCCTCTCTCTCTGACCCTCCCCTGCTCACGCTGTCTCTCTCTCTCTCTCTCCCAGAAATAAATAAAACGCTAAAAAAAAAAAAAAAAGAATTTTTAAACTACAGAGGACCCTGAGGACCATGGCAATATGGAATATACGTAAACCTGTAACTACAACGTAATTCACGAAACCCCACAGTCGTCACAGGGAAATAAACTTAGGTGTGTGATAACTGATGGACTTTCCCAGATGTGCATAGCTAGTCAGTCACCCAGCTGGGCGCCATCCTCCGGGCCTAGCGTTCTTGCAAACTGTGAGCAGCCTCCGCCTTTGCTGTCTTCACCTTTTCTCCTCATCCCTGCGTCCTCTTTCTAAATCACATCTGCCCTTTTGGGTCAGTACAAATACCACGTCTTACGTGACAGACTTCCCTGTTGATTTCACATGACTCGATTCTCCCCTAACCACTGCTCCCTTTCCCTATGTTGCTTTTTACAGAAGACACAGAACTACATTTTTAGGGGGCGATCACTTCTTAGATTTGTTACATTAGCCCAGGTGGGAGAACAGGGAATCTCCATGGCCCATGTAGAGAGCCTCTTACCACCCTGTGGTCCTGTGACTGTGCTACTGTCTAAGTGTTAATATTACAGGACTACCTCACTTAACTCACTACGATCCAAAGACATCGTTACTATTATTATTTCCATTCTTGGTGGCGATGCTCAGATGCTCTCAGCCCCTTAGGCACAGCTCTCTGGTACATACTTCGCCTTCGGCTGCCTGCGGTGATAGTCGTACACTTGGCCTCCTTTCTTCAAGGATCCTGGTCTACTCCGGCTTCCTGGGATAAACCACATATTCCCCATGCACGTGCTCATAGAGTCCCCCCTCCCGCCTGGGATACTTTGACACCCGGCCTCTCTTCTCCCTCCTTCGGGACCCAGCCTCAGGCCTGTGAGTTCCCGGCCTTCCCGGCCTTCTCCGACAGCTCAGGAGAAACACCTCAGACGCTGCTCCAGTGCTGCGACTTTCTAGGACCTACCCAGCCCCTGGCAAGGGCTGCCCCGCAGAGGCCCCCTGGGGGCACTGATGGAGGGAGCAGGGCGCGTAACCCCGCCGTGCCCTCATGGTGTGGGCGATTTGGGGCCAGTGCCTCATCCTCTCTGAGCTCTGGCATCCACACCGAGGATAAATAACATTACGTGCACGTGGGATTGCAGTGAGGTGAGGCACTCGGAGTACAGAACTTGTATGCAGAGTAAGCACGTGGCTGTTATTAGTACTGCCCGTGACTTTGTGATGTCTGTGGCTTCTTTACCACCAGGGAGGAGGTCTGAGGCGTTCATGTAAGGGTGAGTATGCTTATTGTTGGGGAGTAAGCAAAGGTACATTTTATTTCCAGGGTTTTATACAAAGGGTACGTTACAGACATACTCGTTTTATGCAAGGACATGACCATCTCCTTGAAAACTCTACATTAACTACTTTTTAAGTAACGAGCTGATCATTTTTG